GTTCCCACGGTGTGTGGCTTGACGAGCATACTTGCAGACTTGAGTCATGATACATATTCCGACTGCGTCGTTTCCACGGCGCGGAAAAGCTCGTTGCTTGGCGATTCTCAAGTGGCCATTAGATAGATGTTGCAAAATTAATTCAGTTCAGATACAACTGCAACAAACCACAACAAATCTCAGGAACGCGTGCTCGAGCCGCACTGAGGCCCAAGCCTTCGAAATCGGACTATAATTACCGGCAATACACGGGAAAGGCCGAGCTACCTCGCGCAATAACGAGTCTTTATGTTCCATGAGGTATGAAACTTCAGACCAGACTCGCCAAGCCACAGGCCTTCAGAACAAGGCTTTAGATGTAAATGTAAAACAAATAAACCCATGTCATCAGGATATATTATGAAAAAATCGCATCTTTGATAAAGCAATATTGGAAACCTGGAGACAACTTCTGCCATTTATGTAATACATTATTAAATTCACTAGTTTTCGTGGTCCGCTTGACCAATTAATATATTTCAATTAATTACGGTTTTTAATTGAGATAAAAAAGTCAGTGCCACGAGCGGGATTCGAGCTCACGACCTTCGGCTAGAAGGTCCGCTGCTCTACCACTTGAGCTATCGTGACTTCGATCCACTCGGACCCTAACTTCCCATCTCAACCCCACCTTTTGAATTTGCCCTCCTTTTTGCCAATTTTCAAAAGAGGGAAAATTGGGATGGGAAGTTGGTGTCCGAGTGGATCGAAGTCACGATAGTTCAAGTGGTAGAGCAGCGGCGAATCTAGCCGAAGGTCGTGGGTTCGAATCCCGCTCGTGACACTGACTTTTTTATCTCAACGAAAAACCTTAATTCATTGAAAGTGATACGTTATGTTTCTTTAAAGAACGTTTTATGATTTTTTTTAAATAATGACAAAATTATCTTGAAATGTGTAAAACATACGAAAATGCCAAATTTTGTGGATATTTAAAATTTAGATTTCCTATATTTATTGTTAGATTGTTCAATGTAATTACACTTTTTCTTCTTCTTCGTTGTTTCTCTATTTTTAATCAAACATAACAGTCTTTTCCTACTGCAAAAAAAAAACCAACTCCACTTAAGAAACTACCTTGAACCTTTTATCATTTATGGATGGAATGTCACACTAATGTTCAACTTTGTTCGGAATACCGCGGTTGACACATGCAATAACAACATTAACTTTCCAACTTCAATTACGTTAAAAAAAACACAAAAGGTTCGAACACTTTTTAAAAAATCTAAGGTTGTTCCGCTTATTTAGACTTGCCTTGGGAGAATTTCATACGTACGGTTAAAAAGTAATGTAAATAAAATCAAAGGGGCGATTATGTTAAACTTACAAATCACAACGCATGACTGTCGTGCGTGTTGGTATAAACGAGATGAATGGAGAAGCTTTTTTTTCTCTTCCTTAATAAAGGATCTTTCACAACTTCTAACTCCATATAAGCTTAGGCTTAATTAAGACGACACATTTTATTGTTATTCAATCTTAGACTTAGCGTTTTTTTTCTTTCCTGATTATGCTAAATAGCAACCATGCTGGGATGAAATCTTAAAAAAGGGCTTGAACATTAACAATTTCAATTTTTACACAACTTGCAGTCTGTTTTTGATTTAGTAAATTATTATTGTATGCTTTATTCATAAAGACAAATTATTACAATATGAGATGGGGAGTTGGCGTCCGAGTGGATCGAAGTTACGATAGCTCAAGTGGTTGAGCAGCGGAGTATCTAGCCGAAGATCGTGGGTTCGAATCCCGCTTGTGGCACTGACTTTTTTATCTCAACTAAAAACGTTAATTACTGGAAAGATTTTAATTGGTCAAGCGGACCACGAAAACTAGTGAATTTATTACAATATGTTCAATTTGCCGCACGATCGACTTTTATCAAGCGATTTTCTACAAAAAAGAGAACAAAAAGGCCATCAATATGTAATTTAGTTCTTCGTTATTAGGTATTTCGTAAACATAATAATTTTAGTGGTCTGAAGCCGTCGAATATACCGCACTGTATGCTACACGTGTTTTTAATCAATTTTTAAAACCATGTTTTTTCGTAATTCCTTTTGTAATAAATTTATAAAAAAGAAACCAGCAGTTGGTTTATCTTATCCGACAATCCGAAAATGTTTTTGCTTTTTATAGAGAGCAAGTAGGCATGCCCCCTTGATCAACTGTTTGAACCAAAGTTGCACTTCTCTCCATGGAGATGTAGATGTAATAGTGGGGGTGTAATATACTGCGCCCTTTAAGCACACCGGTGAGTCCTCTGTCATCAAGGAACTTGATTAGAAGGCCCGGTTTCAGTGGTTGAATCTCTTCTAAGGTCACATTGTACATCCCAAAGCATTACCTCCTGCGGGGAAGTGTAGCACCGCAGTTTGTTAGTAGGTGTGTTGGTGCCTCCTCTGCCTCTTTGCAAAATCTGCCTGTGCGTCTTGGATTATTTCAATCTTCTTTGTGTCAATTCAGCGTGCAGTGTCCTATTAGGATTCGCAGTTTCTTCCTGTTTCCTTTGACACATTCTGTAATTTCTTTTCTTCCAAAATTTCTTAAGAGATTCTTGGATTGCCTGTGTACAATGAGTGCATTCCATTGTTCCTTCATTTTCTTTTTGTCCTTCTGTCTGAGATACCCGTTAATAGTGTGGGTTCCTATGCCACAGAAGGGTTCGGGTCCTGTCAGCGGTGTAGCAGCTCCTTGCCTTGCAAGAGTGTCCGCTTTCTCGTTGCCTTCTACTCCCAGCAGAGGCTGACCTTGTTCTGAGTACCTAGTATGTTTAATTTGGTTTTGCAGTTCAGCACAATCTAACTAATGATATTTGAGCTTAGTGCTTTGATGGCTGCTTGGCTATCTGACATGATAGCTATGTTCTTGTTTTTGTACCCTTTATTCAGGTACATCTGTCGATTGCTGCCATCTCAACTTGGAAGATACTGGTGTATTTTCCCAAGGGTTCTGAGTATTTGGTTCCAGGACCGAATACTCCTGCCCCTGTTCCTTCTTGTGTTCTAGATCCATCTGTGTACCAAAGGATGGTGCCATTCTTAAAGGAGGTTTCCCTCTCGTTCCCATTCTTTTTTGGTACCTAGATTTATATGGATAACAATTCAAACATTCTGTTCATGTCGTATCTTGAAACACTTCTCTCCATATAGGGTGTCTTGTTCTTTAACTGCTTGTCTTGTGTAAATGAATGTATTTATTAGCGTGCATTTATAGTATGGGCGGCATATAGCTGAATTACGTACCTCATCGTCTCTTACAATGCATTAGTTATTTGCTTGGTGACTACGATGATGAAAAACTACTGTCATGTACATAGCAATAAAAATATTGAAAATGTAATGATATAGCAGTAAATGTAGTTTAGTCTGTTTACCTCACCCGACGAGAAAAATGAGTGGTCTATGTTCCCAAAGTAAAGATAGGTCAAGCCTTGGCTCCTTATAGGGAGCGAGAAGGCTGTTACTTTATCAATAATTGTTTTTGAACACAGCTTAAATTATTTCCGACCTATTTTCTCTGCTGCACATAGCAATACAATTATCTAATGATTAAAATCTATTTTTTTTTTTAATAATTAATCCTAGTATAATGCTTTGGGTCCTTACAAAGAGGTCCAACAACCTTAAACGTAAACTATCTCCTCTTTCTCGAATCTGAATTTATTATTGTTTTACTGGCCTGTTAGTTAGGTGAATGTATTTATTAGCATGAATGTATGGTATCAGGAAGTATGTGGTGCAATATTAAGAACCCCATTGACCCAACGGATATATACTTTCGGTATAGAGGGGTCGAAGGAAACTTGATATGTATTTTACATATGAATAAAAATATCTACGGATGAAAGTCAATTTTCTAAAAATAAAGACTAAAAAATTCCCAGCTTTATCGTGCGTTGGCTCTTTATATAGAGCGAGCAGGCATGCCCCTCTACAAGATAACTGACCTTGCACACAGCAGAGATTTTTTTTATCCTCCTTTCTCTAGAATCATGTGAGTGAACGTATTTATTAGCATGACTAGTATAAGAAAGCCTATGGTGGAATATTAAGTAATTTCAGAAAAACAAATTTAGAACGATGGAGAAAAATCAATCATTGTGTATGGCTACGGCTGGTAAAATGGCTTGTACAGGAATAAATAATAGCTGCAAATACATAATATGGAAAATATGAGCCCATTTAAAGATAATTATTTTCGCCAAATATTTATAGGTATTTTCTTTATTATTTTGCAACGTATGAAGTCAACAATAAAGAACTTAATATTGTCATTACAGGAAACTGCTTTATAAAAGAATCTTTGGAAAACAGAGAATACAGTGATACAACAATTCTCCAATATCATTACTGATAGGAAAATAGATAATCCACGTTAAACGTCAAATTATGATGGAGAAAGCATTTTGAAGTCAAAACTTGAAAGGGATGGTAAAATTTTGCGATCGAGAGAGTTCCGTACTCTTCTTTGGAGAGTATTTAAAAAGAAAAAGAATATATTATTTACATTTTATTTTACAAAAGTTTAATTAAGTGTTCGCAATATGGGATATATACGTTGGGATATATATATGACGTTGGGTATATATACTAAAACTGGAACGACACTGGACACTTGCATTAAGAATTTTAACATCACAAAAGGATATCTTTAATCCTGTGCACCGGATTCAAGTGCCAAAATTTTAAAGTAAAAGAGAAACATGACGAAAACCTTCAACCAGTCGAAGAAATCCCCGGTGGGAAAAGTCCTGTGGAAAAAATCTAACATTTTGCTCAGATCCGTACTAAATGAGGTGAAATGGTTCAAAACTTTATCACGAAAAGCAACGTTTCACAATAGACTCAGTCAGTTCGGTCCGTAGTACAATTTCGTGTGGCACTTAGAGGGGGTTTGGCCTTGATAGTGAGAGGGAGGCCGCCCACCTATATATACCCTGTTCGGTCCAGGTTGGGACATAGCACCACCAACCACCAACGTACAACAAACAGCGGAAAAAATGCACTCTCTCACACAGGTAAATCAACATTTCTGATGCATTTTCCTTCGGTGAAGCACAAAATAACGTCCGAGGCAGCACATTATTGGGCTGGATAGTTTTCTTAGTATTTTTTCTTCTTTACTATATCTTTCTCCCATTGAACTGACAAAATTCGCAACAAACAAAAACTTTTCTCTTTTTTTTTAAGCAATATTGAAAAATAACATTTGTCCTTCAACTTCTGGTCTTTTTTTTCAATTTATTTTGGCAAAACTACTCAGGCGCTAAGTATGATCTGTTTACTACACATTTTATGAAATCTTTTTTAAACTTTTTATTTTTTGGCTTATTTTTACTTTTTTGGGCAGGATAGTTTTCTTAGTATAACTTTTGTCTTCTTTACTACATCTTTCTCCGATTGAACTGACAAAATTCGCAACCAACAAAAAATCATTTTTTGAAAACAATATAGAAGAATAACATTTCAAACATTTGAACTTCAACTTCTGGTCTTTTTCAATTTACCGTTTGGCAAAACTGCACAAGCGCTAACTATGATCTGTACTACACATTTTATGAAATTTTTTTAAAACTTTTTATTTTTTTACAACTGCATTCTTCGATGCAACAAGTAAAACATATAAACATAATAACGGTGCATGAAAGTTTGAACAGCTACCATCCAGTGATGGAAACCGTTAGTACGTCAATACGATGAGTGAGATGGACTCCGTCCTAGGAGACCGATGTCAAGTGTTAAGGTTGTCGCGGGGCCACCGCCGCTTCAGTCTTCTGTTTGGATTATTAGATAATGAGGTGGATGACAGGTTTTTGACGAAAGGGTTCGGATGATGGAATAGTTTGGAATGGAACGTTTTGTAGCGGGGTTGGGCTAGCTGGGTAACAAGAGGGACATTTAGGTCGATATGGACGGTGTGATGGATGTGAGGATTTTGTATTGAAGGGATTGGTTTCGATGGCGGTTGGAACGCTTAGCAGTCCCGTAAATTTCAAGTCCGTATGTCCAAATGGGGGCCAGGAGGGCAATGTAAAGTTTTCTTTTGTTTGTTAGTGAGAGTGAGACCGGGCTGATGTACTTCAGCTTAGGTATTCCTTTGCGCGCGTCATACGGTCTGATGCTTAGCGCAGACCCGGCCACTTGGAATGGACAAGCGGGTAGCGAGATTGTCTTGGCCCTTCGGAGCTGGGCTACCTCTACACCAATGCTGCGGCAGTACACAACCCTGTCGTATGCGTAGTCAGCTCTCATCTTGAGAATCAAAACGTCCGATAAGGCCGAGTAGGCTAGGTGCGGACTTAAAGATCCCCAGAGTCCTTTTTAGGATGACCGAGTATGCGGGAACCCAAATGTTAAAGAGAGTTTTGATCATCTGTCGAGTAGTCGTCTAAGCATGAATGTTACAGTCGGTGCGTCTAATTCGTGTACTGGGTTCCACGTCAGTCGTTTGTCCAGGTAGAGTCCGAGGTATCGTACATGATCCGCAATTGGGATGGGAACGTTGTTGAGGTATACTGGTGGGAGCGTTTAGTTCTTTAGGGTAGATATTATGTATGTTGATCTTCTCCACTGACAGAGACAGCATTCTAGGATGATTAGGTGATTTTGGAGATCACGGGAAGCTGTGACAGGATCTTTATCAGGAGAAAGAAATGCGGTATGATCGGCAAAGGTGAAGATGATAGTGTTAGGTTGCGTAGGTAGATCGGAGGTATAAATCGAATAAAGGAAAGGAGCGAGCACGCTGCCCTGTGGGACACCTGCTTGAATAATATGATAAAAAGTAAAATACAGTCAAATCACTTTTCCTCAAACTCAAGAATTTAGCTACTTTCTTCCCTTTCGCTCAATTTAAGTTATTATATAGTTCATTGCTACAACGACTCAAGGTCAACACCAAAAATGAAGCTTTGAAAAAAATATGTAACAACATTAAACAATGAAAACGTACTTCCTGCATGCATTTGTTAAATATTAAAACATTCCAGATTACTGAATTCAAACTTTTATAGAAAATTCAAAAATAGCTTAAAGCCTTTAGATATCTTTATCAGATCCATGAAGGAGTATTACTTTTAAAAAGTGTTTAATTTTCATTTATTCAGAAAACGTTTAGATTAATTTACATATCCTATAAATTTTAACACTATAACAAAAGAAAATTTTTTCTTTGCAAAAATTGTAATTTCAAAACAATTTTTTATTCACATTTTATTTACAAAACGGTAACACAATGACAGTACATAGAATAATATACAATAAAAAATTTGATTTCACAATGGATACATACAAATGCGAGTTTCTTCTATTTTTAGGAAAGATTATGAGAGGGTTTATTACCGTAGTGGTAATGATTTGTCATAAAATAAAAGTAAAATCCTGTGGGAATAATTTTACAGTCTTAAGTGCGAGATAGTAGGCAATTTGAATTATAAGCACAGCTCACTTTACTTTTTTTTTAAATTGAGCTGCCTTTTTAATTTAGTCAAAACGCTTGAGCATCAGTCTAAAAGGCAATATCCAATTCTTTCAGTGAAATAAGACGTTTTCTCTTTACGGAACAAATTATAAGATTTAAACTCTTTCCTGACTAGCTCAGCAGTTTGTTTGGAAGATTAAAAAGAAACGTCTGATCACTGAATTGCGGATGATTCGACAAGTCTGATAGAATGAAAGTGTCCCTTAATTGATCATCGTTGTCATCCTAAATCATTTTCACTTCGATGACAGATTTTATTTCGTTCTTGTCCGGTGAACCCTGTGTTTTTGGACCAGGACAGGTTTTCCTTGGCTTTCTCACACTGTGAAATTCCGAGGTTTTAATTTTATAGCAAATCAAAAAACGAATCGTAAGTCGTTGCGACTAGATCTGGGTGATGCGAGACGAGTTTTCCCATCGTTAACAAATTTTGTTGCACGGCCTTAGAAAAATATTATATCAGTATCCTCATTCCTCCGAAGTTAGAAATATTAGTAGTACATCATTGTTATACTGACCACAGGCAGTTGGAGATTATTTTTATTGAAGCCATAGAAATGGATATAGAACAGAATGATCTTGGATAACTTCTACAACGGTCTTGCTAGTGAAATTAGTTTGATAGACTTTGGTCTTCCTATCCTCGCTGGTTTTGTCAATCGGATAGGTTTTCGCCAATACGCCACTTTAGCGGTTGGTCTGTGCGTTTCCCTCTGTACATGCCATGATGTCTGACGAGATGGTCATACGGCGCATGTTAGTCACAAACCGAACGCCCAAACTGATTTTATTTTATCTTCAGCGTTATTTGTGGGTTATCATCAAGAACGAAGAGTTGCGATTAGAAATAATCCGTCTAATCCGATCTTTCTTGATAGTCAAATTAGATAATAATCAAGAAAAATTTTAAACTCCCTGCACTAGTTTGTTATATTCTTCCTTCCCAATAGCTTTACTACTCGGGCTTCAGGGGAAAAACGTATACAGAACATTTGTAAATACAAAAAGTGTATTTCTTATGTTCTTCATAAAGTGTTAGCTTTTAGCAGTTGTGTACAAAAAATGGATGTTTTGGGAAACCAAGCGACCGATTATAGAAAACGATCAGTTTTATTATTTGCTGTACCTTCAAATATAAATTGGAGAGGGCAAAACTCAGAGGACTGGTGGGACTACTAACCGGTCACTGGTATCTGAGAAAACATCTACACAACATGGGTATATACAATGATGATCCCATTTGCAGATTATGCAATGAGGAGGAGGAAACAGCCACTCATATCATCTTCGAATGCGAAGCAACAGCTCAATGGAGGTTTAACCTAACATATGAAAAAGACTCAGGGAACCAAATTGCAGCAATAACAGTCAACCTGATACTTCTAAGAAGAAGGATTGAGTCTATTGATTGAATTAAGGAACTAGGAAGGTACAATAACCCAGAAGGCTGCAGTGCCTGGGGAATACAAACCCCGCTTCCCAGTATCCTTTCCACCATACCATACCTTGAAATAGATGTCTGTAGCATGCATAATAAACCCCTTTCATGATTTGAACTGTCTTTGGTTTACTTTTCACTCCAACGTTTCGGCTTCACACCATCCATAGTACAGAAACAAGGTCAACCACTAGCAACCCTTTGATGATCGTTTTCCATTTTTATCCACAGGTCGCTTTCTTCGTAGCCGGAGTCGCTCTGGCCCACGCAGGATATTTCGGTGGATATGGAGGCCATTTGGGAGGTGTCGGTTATGCCGCTCCAGTAGCAGCATACGGAGGTGCTGGATTCGGCGGTCACGGATACGCCGGCCACGGTGTCGACTACTACGTAAATACCATAAACTGACTGTACTAATAAATAATAGATCGATAATTAAAAAATGCGTTTTTCAGGCCCACCCGAAATACGCTTACGATTACGGAGTTAAGGACGGTTACACCGGCGACGTTAAGAACCAGTGGGAACAGAGAGACGGAGACGTTGTCAAGGGACAATACTCTCTGGTCGAGCCCGACGGTTCCGTCAGGACTGTCACTTACACTGCTGATGACCACAACGGATTCAACGCCGTCGTCCACAAGACTGGCCACGCTGCTCACCCGGCCCCGCTCTACCATCACCACTACTGAAGAAAGACCGGCTCACTTTTTTCCCTTATACCAAATGAATCAGCATGTACAAAGACCATATTGATTGGATGGCTTGAATGATAAAATTATGGATGTATTATATATTTATGTGTATTTTTATACAAAGACAATAGATCTAGTTTAAATTGCAAAGATTTGTTTGCTTCTTCATCTCTTTATCCTAACGTTCATCATAATTATAACAAGCGGAAAAAAATAACTTGAAGACTTCTTATTTACATCATTACAAATATATAATTGTTCGGTCGTTTCCAATTTCGTTCCTTCCGTGATGGGCTTGTGTGAAAAAAAAAATACACTTTCAAAAAAACAAACATACTAACCAACTAAAAACGAAGTTGGTGAAAAACCAAAACGCGTCAAACAGACCTAAAAAGCAACCTGGCCAGTCTATGATGGCCAGAAACAAATTACATATTCCTCAGCCCTCTACATAAAAACTGGACAACATAAATATTTCATAATTCTAAAGAGTAGAATAGCAACAGTAAAAAAGAAAAAACCAAATTATTTTGGTCTGCCTATCCTTGCTCCTTGGGCTCTCGAAGACTTCTTACTCATCTTGTTTACAAAAATTACATTACAGTATAGAAAATACTACGATATGATTCAATGACAGAAAATTTAATCAGAGATGGGATTTGTCAAGTTTCTAATCGATATGCTAAAGCCAACAACCACAAATTGGAACATATCGATCAGAGTCAAGAAGAATCCCATATTTGCTATCAAGATTGTGACAGTTTATACGGCCAGTGGCACTCTCAACACGACGCACAAGAGTGACACATCTACTCGGAACACAAACACTTTGAGCCCTGAAGATGATCTCAATAAAGCTCGAAACGTTGGCATGATAAAGAAAATGTTTTTCTAAAACCTACGTCACACCAGACCGCACCTCACGATCTCTAAATAATCATTATGAATATGGATGAACTAAGCTCCGACGTTGATTATGGTTATATTTTTAGAATTGTTGTATATTATTATCCTGTATCTTTGCACTCTATGCTCAACTATCCCCCATTTTTACCAGAAAAAAATAATAATTGATAACCACTGAAGCTTAATTACAGATTTGAACGGTCGAACAAAACATGTTTGTCATTACACGGCGTTAAAACAAAACGTGTAGGGGCGTCGGTGGCGCTCATCACTGTAAGGTAAAGGTCCCGGGTTCGAATCCAGCGGCCCTGCATTCGAACCCGACATACTTACAAATGAGCTTTTTTTCGAAAACACCGGCACCCCGAGGGTTGATATAACCTCTGTTGTTGCGAACCCTCGTTTTAAAACAAACCGTAGATCATGGTTTTACGAAAATTCAAAAGTAAAATGTAGACGAGAAATTAATGCTGCTGTACATAAATCTAAATAATAACCTTTGACAAACAACTATCAGATTTTGAGAAAGAAGATAAAGAAAATAAAGGTTTCAAAGATATAAAGTAATAACATTAAAATATAACATAGGCCAACAAAGAACCAACATATAAATTCACAAAAGAAAAACATAAACACCAATAGATAATCCCACAGCCACCAAATCTAATAGCACTTTCATATATACATAAACAAAACATACATCAAAATTAACCAACACATAATAAAACTACGATAAACTTTTTACGCTACATACAAGGAGATAGTAAAAGTCAACCAAAGGAAGAGCATTTACCCAATCTGGTGACTGGGTGGCATTTGAGGGCAGCCTTTGGCACGGTTATGCGTTCCACCATTCCATTTGATTGAGGATGGCAGTAGTTTTTGATGTAGAAATTCCGAATAATTTTTCAAAAACCATTGAAATGTTCGCTCTCAAATTGATGTCCGCGATCTGTTGTGATAGAGTGAGGGATTCCAAAACGTGCAATCTATTCAAAGAGGACTTTACGGGCAGCAGTGTCTGCAGTTTGGTCCGGTACTTGGTATGCCTCTGACCATCTTGAAAATCTACCGACTACCGTTAATAAGTATCGGTACAAAGAGGCTGTGGTCACACGAAATCAACGTCAGTACGGCTGAACCTGTGATTCGGCAGGGCAAAGTTGTAAATGGTGCCTTAGTGTGCCGTAGAACTTCTAATTTGCAGCTAATGCACGAACGGACCCAATCACGCCTGGCCATAAGAAACGATCCGACACTAATTTTTGAGATGTACGAATGTCTTGATGTTAACACATCCAGTGTGTGAAGAGTGTGGAAAACTTCACGTCACACTGAAGATGGAACATATGGTCTGGTTGAGGGGAAAAAAATTCGCAGTAGATCTCATGTGTGGTGTTTGGTAGCAGAACTCGTACCTCAATTAAGGGTCTTTTAAGCACTGTTCGAGGTCCTCATCCGATTGATCAATTGTTAGTCTGTTGTAATGCATGTTGGATGGAAAATTCCATCAATCCTTGAAAACGCATCGGCGATGAAATTTTGTTCGGCAGGGACTTGTCCAACGTCGGTAGAAAATTTAGAAATGAAGGTTTAGCCTGTCGAGGTGACGCTTTTCCAATCGTTGATCAAATGCGTAGGTTAAAGAACGATGATCAGTGTAAATGATAAATTGTTAACCTTCGAGCAAATATTTGAAATGTCGAACAGCGGCGTAAATGGCGTACAGTTCATGGTCATTGGCATTGCATCGTGTTTTTGCGCTGGTGAGAGTTTTCTTGAGAAAAATCCGACTGGCTCGGGTCGACCTTTTACCTGTTGTTGCAGAACTGCTCGTATCATCAAATCGGAAGCATCTGTGTGGATGCATAATGGGGTATCGGGGGAGCTGGGTGTGCCAAAATAACTTCGCTACCTAAAATCTCCTTCAACTGTTGAAAAGCCGTTGTCATCTCTGATGTCTATTGAACCTTCGCATCGCTCTTCAAACCATGGCCGGAAATAGCGAAAAGGAGAGGAAGTCGGAGTGTAGCAGCGTCCTTGATGAATCGGTGGTCAAAATTTACCGTCTCCAAAAATCAGCGTACCGTACTGGGTTGGGGAAATTCTTAAAGTCCCTTGCAATCCAAAGGTTGTAATCTTTGAAAGGTAGCCTTGAACCGTAAAAACTCAACAGTTGATTGGACAAAAACGCATTTCGCAGGGTTTACAACGATGCCTGCGTCGCTCAGGCGATGGAAAATCGTGGTTATATGTTGAATGTGTTCTTCTGGTGAAGAACGTGTATTCCGCTGGAGGTTTGACGATAATGTCGTTGACTCGTTCCAGCTTGTCCTCGCCCAGTTGTTGAAGTGCATGACTATTCTGGATTATTTCAAAAGTGATAAAGATGCTAAAGCAAAATTGGCTTCTGCACGCGCAAACCAAATAGTCGGCTGGCTTTGCCAAAATGCTGGTAGTTTTACACCAATCCGGTCAACTTAGGAGGTGGTCATGCTGAGGTCTTGTCTTCACTTGTCGGTTGTTCACTTATCCATATTAACACAACATGATAAATTTTAAACTAAACATATATGTAGTGAATAATTTAAATACATACAAATATCAGATATAGTAACAATGTGTGGTGATTAGTGACCGTTAATCGATATTTATTTAGAAATCGTGAAATGCGGTCTGGTGTGATGTAGGTTTCAGAAAAACATTTTCTTTATCATACCATCGTTTCGATCTTTATTGAGATCATCTTCAGGGCTCAAAGTGTTTGTGTGTTGACATCAACGTTTGACAGATTTATGAGATCAGAGGGTGATCTGCCAGGGTCGCTAGGATCGTCACATTTTCAATAATCAGTACCGACGAGTTTATGATTTTATCAAACGAAATAATTCAATCAAAGATGAAATCATATCCAATTTTAATTTGATCAGCCAAACTAGAATGGTTATAGAAGATAAAATTAATCGTTTACTTCCTCACAGCAAATAGAAATAAAAAAGGTTATGTTAATGGGATTGGCAGCCTGATAAAAGTTATAATTGGAAATCTCAATAGCTCTGATTATAGCTTTTACCAAAATTCACGGATGGTGTAAAATCCAATGAAAGTAATTTGAAGAATCAGTTAAATTTAATATACTCCAATAATAATAAAATTATAAACAATTTCAACAAAACTACTAAAACCCTTCGGATAAATGGTGTAGAGTTGGATGTAAACAAATTTAATTGGTAAGGATGATTTTAGAAGAAATTGAAAATTCAGTTGGCTTTTGTAAATTTGGTTCTTGGTTGTACACCCCACACCCTCTGCTCTTCTGGACCAAAGATGGTCTGGAATCTCTACATTCATCTCTTAGGTCTTCAAACATCAAATATAATGAAGTGATCCTTTTTTTATATAACAATTTTTCCAAGTTTTTTGTATATTTAACAATCGAGTATGGCATAACTTTTTCGAAGTACTTTATTCCATAATTTCACTAATTTCATGGTCTGCTTGACCATTTAATATATTACAATTAATTAAGGTTTTTAGTTGAGATAAAAAAGTCAATGGCACGAGTGGGATTCGAACCCACGATCTTCAGCTAAATACGCCGCTGCTCTACCACTTGAGCTATCGTGACCTCGACGTATCAAGCCGAAGATCGTAGGTTCGAATCCCGCTCGTGCCATTGACTTTTTTATCTCAACTAAAAACCTTAATTAATTGTAATTTATTCCATAATCTTCCAAATATATAAAAAAAAAATGTGAGTAATGCAAATTAAAATGACATATAAGAAAATATAGTATTATTCTTTTATATTGTTTTGCATAAAAACAACTTTAATGTAGTACGTCATTATTGGGAGATTTTCAAGAATAAACAAAAACTTCAATAAATAACAATTTATTTGTTGTGAATAAAAATTAAGACTTATTATTTCATCCATCTTGGGCCGTACAGAATTGTATTATTTGTTGCCTGAATATAAATTGGCATTGAACTTCGCAACGTAATTTGCAGAATAAATATTTTACATATATACAATTATACATTTTGTTCAAAAAAAGATTTACAAAAACTGTCGCCTATTAGGTGGCCTGTGCTTCTTTTGCTTCAAAACCTTTGGCCTGTTTGATTTTGTCGTGTTGCATTTCCCACATCTTCGAATACAAAGAATCCGAATTGCTGAGCAAGCTTTCATGCGTCCCCCTTTCGGCCAAGCCGCCTTTGTCCAGAACGAGGATTTCATCCGCGTCCATTATCGTGGAAAGTCTGTGTGCTATGCAAATTGACGTTCTACCTTCTGTGGCAATATCAAGAGCATCCAATATATTCTGAAAAATTCATCTTGTTTGAGACACCCTATAAAAAGTAAGTATATGCAAAAATTAATAAAATTTACATGTTCTGTTATTGAGTCTAATGATGATGTGGCTTCATCAAAAATCAAAATCGGAGAACCTTTCAAAATAGCCCTAGCGATTGCTACTCTCTGTTTCTCACCTCCTGATAATTTCAAGCCCCTTTCACCAACCTTGAGTATTTTTGTAAATTTAAGGACATAAGAAAAAAAATTCGTATAAAATTGTGCAAAAACAAATTAACAAACCGGAGTATTGTACTGTTGAGGCCATGCCATCACAGAATTGTGAAGATTGGCCATTTTAGAAGCTTCAATTGCTTCTTCTTCACTCCTGTCTAAATTGCCATATCTCAGATTGTACAGAATGGTGTCATGGAATAAAACAGAATCCTAAAAATAATAATTCGTCAAGAAAATTACAAGTCAACTGTTACGTATAATTCTTACCTGGGGAACAATTGCAATTGATCTTCGGAGGTGATCAAGATCTAAATCTTGAATGTTTTTCCCAGCGATATAAATATTGCCAGAAGTTGGATCAAAGAATCTATACAGTAGCCTTGTAATAGTCGACTTCCTGTGAAACAACAATAAAATTATCACTTTGAATATAAAAAATTATATTCACTAATTTTGTGGTCCGCTTGACCAATTAATATCTTACAATTAATTAAGGTTTTTAGTTGAGATAAAAAAGTCAATGGCACGAGTGGGATTTGAACCCTCGATCTTCAGCTTGATACGCCCTGTTCTACCACTTGAGCTATCGTGACCTTGATCCACTCAGACACTAACTTCCCACCTCAACCCCACCTTTTGAATTTTCCCTCCTTTTTGCCATTTTTCAAATGTCGTGTAATCTATTTGATTCTCAGTGACAAATGAAATGGCCACGGAGAACTTTAGTGAAGGTATACTTCATTTTAAACTTATTACATTCACTAATTTCGTGGTCCGCTTTACCAATTAATTGTAAGATATTAATCACCACGAAATTAGTGAATTTAATAAGTTTAAAATGAAGTATACCTTCACTAAATCTCTCCGTGGCCATTTCATTTGTCACTGAGAATCAAATAGATTACACGACATTTGAAAAATGGCAAAAAGGAGGGAAAATTCAAAAGGTGGGGTTGAGGTGGGAAGTTAGTGTCTGAGTGGATCAAGGTCACGATAGCTCAAGTGGTAGAGCAGCGGCGTATCTAGCCGAAGATTGTGGGTTCGAATCCCGCCCGTGCCATTGACTTTTTTATCTCAACTAAAAACCTTAATTAATTGTAAGATAAAAAATTATACTATTCCCAAATAAATAACAGTTTGATACAATTACACATACCCTGTTCCTGATCCACCGACAATCGCTATCTTCATTCCTGCAGGAATTGTGAACGATAAATCTTCAAAAATTTGTTTCCCTTTAACATACTGAAATGAAACATTTTCAAATGTAATTGTCGAATTTTCAGTAGTTATCGCAAGTGGAAGAGCAGTCGGAGAATTCTAAAATCATTAAAGTAATTTTTTTGTTAAATTGTGTTTTATCGGGTGTATATATATTACTTACTTTTATTTCAGGTTCTCGTTTCATAAGGGAGAATAAAGTTTGCATGTCGATCAACGCTTGCCTCACTTCGCGATAAACAGACCCGAGAAAGTTCAACGGTATGGACAGTTGGAATAACAACCCATTGACCATAACCATGTCACCGACTGTTAGAGTGCCCTGTAAGACACCTTCAGCGACAAGGTACATTGCAAGAGCGAGAGCACCGCTGAAAATTGCATTCTGCCCAAAGTTTAAAAGGGCTAGACTAGTTGTCGTTTTCAACGAAGCAGCTTGGTACCTGGCCAAGGCATTGTCATACCGTCTGACTTCATGATCTTCATTGTTAAAATACTGAAAGGATAATTGTTTATTCGAATTTTTTAATATCAAAAAGCAATTAAAAATACCTTGACTGTTTCAAAATTTATTAATGAATCGACTGCTTTGTTTCCAGCTTCGTTTTCTGCTTCGTTCATCTGAACTCTGAACCTTGTCCTCCATTTGGTTATGGATAGTGTAAAAATACCGTAAAGACCGACACACCCTAAAGATATAAAACCCAAAGGCAATCCACACTTATAAGCCTAGAAGTAATAGTTCTTTAGTTACTAACGTGTTACCCTGAAGTATCTGGTAATACGTACTAATATGGTCGAAACTAGTATCAGTTCAAAAAGAGTAGGCACGACATTAAACACCATTGCACTTAATGCAAAGTTTATGCCTCTACTTCCCCGATCTATGGCCTAGAAAACAAAAACAAAATATTACTATTGTACTTAAGCTTTGACTTTTGAAAAGCATACTTTTGAAAGGGCACCAGTCCTTCTTGATAAATGAAAAGATAAATCTTGCTGGTGTAAATGTGCGAAAACATTTCTAGCAACATTTCTTATAGAGTTCTGAGCCACTCGGGCAAAAACGGCATTCCTCAATTCGCCAAAACCTGCAGCTCCTGCCCTGGCAATCCCGTCTGAACAAAATCACTATTAAGCAATTAATTTGGCTAGAATAATTCATTAATGTAAACAAATTTGTGGATCTCTCTGAGAAAATTCAAAATAATCTACCTTCTAAATCGGGTTCCAAATTCAACTTCTGTTGTTTACATATTGAATTTTGGAATACCCTACATTTAAGTTCAAAATTACTAATTAGAAAACTACCACAAAAAAACACAAATTGGTTTATTTTCACTTACATCCAATAACTAAAGTTGCAGCGCTAGTTGCGATCACTTCAGGAGCTGTGCCCATTTTTAAAAGATTTGTATAATTGTTGAGGTCGTCGACAATGTATTTGAAAAAAAAAGGTGTAGCTACGTTAAGAAGTTTTGAGCCGATCAAAAGGCCAAGGGACAATGCAACTGTAGCTTTAACCTTTGGTTCGTTCTAGAGAAAAACAACTCATTTACAAATTATTCACCAAGGAGAAAAATCTAGAGAAATTAACCTTTGGCCAAATGTAGGACAACATCAAATTAATCATTTCTTTATTTGTGACAGTCTTTGTTTCCCCGAGTGAAATCGTCTCTCTCGCAAGTGAAGACGTCCCTGGATGGAAACAGTCCCTTTTCTTCTGGGCCGGTGGAATTGATACGTCTTTTGTACCTTTCGTTTTGTAAGCTCTTGTAACAACACATCGGTCACCATTCTTGTCATCATGGAAATCAAATAATACCGTCTGAAAACCAATTATTAACCCTATCAATGAATACCAAGTAGTCTGGGAAAAGGAAAAGATTTATTATTTGAGATAAATCGTTAATTTTATATTGTACAGATTAGTAAAATCTACTTTTACTAAGTTAGATTCTGACACGAAAAATACAAGAAGCATCATGCTTTTTATCTAATTATTTTTATCTAATTATTTACGAAAATTTTATCTCTTAATCATGCATTTTTTTCAAATCGTTATATCATCTTGATTTTTTTTTTATAATGAGGTGGTCTAATAAAACAGTTGAATTATAGCCAGAACATTATTATTTATTGATAAAATAAATGATAGGTACATAGAACTGACAATACTGTACATATTATCACATTTATGTTATAAAACTAAAACAATTCACACAAAAAAAATTAATCTAGTATAATAAACAAAATAACAATTTTGAACTATTTACACTATTCATAATCGGGATTTTTTACAAAACAAAATCAATCACTATAACAAATATACAATATAAAAATATGTCGAATAAATCACATTAATCACAAATTGTAATTTATTTGGATAAAATTGAAAATGCCATTTTTCCTGAGTTCAAGTAATGTTAGACTAAGAAACTCCCAATTCCTTATTGACTATATGCAATATTGACTGATATTCTTCTAATAAGTTTGCGCAGATCTGCAATATATCACTAGAGGGATGGCCAAAAATAAAATTCTTTATCTTTTCTATATCGATGTTTATTTCTTTGAGTTTCTCGTCTATTATTAGTCTAGCTAGTGTGATAAATCCAAGTTGATTGTGAGTGAAAACAGTTCCTGAAAACACTTGTCTGTTTAAGCCCAATAGATTGGCAGTCACAGGCGCAGAAAGTACAAACAATGTAACTTTAGCATTCCAAGAGAACCCGTCCGCACTGCATGACAAATCAACTAGCAAGTCGTGCTTTTTTAAATAATCGTATCTAGTCATAATTAGCGTTTTTAAAGATGGGCTTATTTTTTTTGCTGCCTCTAGAATATCACTGCTAGACAAGCTAATAACATCATGATGGTTTTTTGGCAATATGAAACCGTATTCCAGGTACAATTTAGCGTTACTATGACTACCATAATTTATAAATACCTCATCATACTTGTTAAAAGCAACGGAAGTAGTGACTGTGTAAGTGGAATCTTTAAGATTAAAAAATGCATTCACTTTGGCACTATTCGAATGATTTATCATATCAAGATAAGGGGCTAAAGCAAGGCAGTTGGAATCTATTAAATTAATTTTGTGTGTAAAATTGATATCTGGTGAAATATAAACACAACGTGAATTAACAGAAAACCATGCCCATTTTAAAGCTTCCAAAGTAAAAATGCTATTATATTCTAAATTGCAATGAGGACAAAAGTGCGATTTCATAATATTCGTTAAAATTGAATGAGATTTTTGTACTGACGTTTTCATTTCCATTATTTTGTTGTGTAACACATTTGGAAAATTTTCTTCCTCATTCCTCGAACAAAATAATGGGGAATAATACTGCTTCGGCAGGCTTGATATGTATTTGTACCACGTAGATTCATCGTTTAGATGTTTCTCCCAAGCCAAATAAACTGCGAGTACCTGCTGAGTAGTCAGACCCACTTCCAAATTGTTAAGGACATTGCCTAAAAGCGATTCAGATACTGTTTTGACTGTGATTAACAATTTAAACGGGATCTTTACTAATGTAGTACCAACAGGAATACGCTTTTTGGCCATCAACCCTCGCCCAGTATTAGAGAAAATTGCAGGGAGGAGTTTGCAGGTCGGTTTCCAACCGTTTGAAGTCAACCAATTGACAAGAGGTAGAAATTCTTCATTTTCGCCTAAGCTGACGGGCCGTGGGCACTTTACTTTTTTTCTCCGCACTCTAAAAGTTCTTCCCATCTTTTAATAATATCTATCCCTCTTTGACCAGTGACCAACCAACGAGAACGGTCCAGTCTTCAGGATATCTTAAACAGTAAAATTATTCATGGCAAATTTTTCTTCTTCAAAATCTATCATATTAGAGGAACACAAGCGGAAACACATTGAGATAACATCAAATAGTCTAATTTTAAACTGAAGTGTTCAAATGTCATATTCACAAAACTAAGCCTAAGAGATTAGATTAATTCTAGTTCACTACAACATGGTTTCAAAAAATATTTTTATAATTCACTAATTTCGTGGTCCACTTGACAAATTAATATATTACAATTAATTAAGGTTTTTAATTGAGATAAAAAAGTCAATGGCACGAGCGGGATTCGAACCCACGATCTTCGGCTAGGTACGCCGCTGCTCTACCACTTGAGCTATCGTGACCTCGATCCACTCGGACACCAACTTCCTATCTCAACCTCACCTTTTGAGTTTCCCTCCTTTTTTATTTTTATAATTGATGAATTAGTGAGTGCTTTTCTTCAAAAAGCTTTGCAGAGCTAATATGTAAAATGTCTTAAACAGTATCAAAGAAATATCATTGGTAGATTGGACAAACAATTAACTGAAATTCTATTAATTATTGAAACTGAAGTGGTCTTAAGTCAGTTTTACCAATATTTAAATTCAAAGTCAAACAAGTGAATAAAAATAAATATGGATCAACAATATCAATGCAGCAATATTTCAAATACTACATACGATATATCTTATAACCGCAACGTCAGTAAATAACATAAAGGATTCTATTTCTCAGACTGGGTACATAAATGTGCAGTAATAGTGAAAATATAAAAAATAATAATAATAATGCTAGAAGGAAATGAACTATGGTGATTTTTCCTTAAACAAAATATTACTCTTGCTTAACTTTAACTATAAAACATTACAATACAGACCAAAAATATAATACAAATTTGATAATTTTTTTATTAATTTTAATTTACTATGGTGGTAAAAATATTTGAAATCTAGAAAGAAGAAAGAAAAAAAAAGATAAATGTGAGAGTCCAAAAATTGATGGAATAATACCCCAGGTGTGAGGAACATAAAAGATTGATAGAAGGGTCATCCAAAAAGCTTTCAAGGTTATTACTGGAAAGCAACCGGCAGGGGTCTGGCTGGACTCGACAGGGCACTGCCGCCTAAGAAGGCACATGCACCAGTTAGATGTACAGACAGAAGAAACACTGTGCAGATACTGCAACAAAGAGAAGGAGACTAAAGAACACATTTTATGTTTTTGTGAAGATCTTTGCAGATGCAAATTTGCATAAAACCAACATTTTGGAATTTACACAACAAAAGGCCTATTCGAAACCCCAACACTAGACTCTACGAGCACAGAGAAAGAGAGTATTAAAAACTAGGGTATGAAACAATTCCTTAAGGAGTGGAATCTATCCCCCGGACACAGGCAATCGAAAGAGTTTGTTAAGGTAATCAAACCAGCAGAATTTAAATGGCTATTCTCTAACTCAAGGAAAGGAATAGGCTGCCCACTGAGAAGACATCTCTCTGTAATGGGTATTCTACCAGATCTCTTTTGCCGTTTTTGTGAAATATGGCAAGGCACTACCTTGCAGTGTGATAGGTATGCTAGGTCTGGATTTGAAATATTTGAAGGAGCGGACATCACCAAATCCCCGAGATGAGATGGTCCAAAATTTTGTGGTTTGTGAACAATTCCAAGAGATTTATGCAGGACACGTGAGCCGACCAAGTCCCGGATCTTTTAGGGGTGGGGTATGAGTCTACCCAGGCATTTAACCCCTCGGGTCTTGGTCGCCCACCCTGCCTAACCCTATATACATTATATATATATATATATAATGCAGAAAATTGTCGCTATTTTTTGCTCAAGCTACTGTAATGGTTTTTTACAAAAAATATAATATAATGTTCATTAAAAGATGCGTACACTTGTTCTATCTAAAATTGTTAAGTAAGACATTCAGATTTTTCGTACATTATTTAATTCAGTAGGGGGTACCCATCAGAAAACAGTAACATTCGATTTGGGTGAAAAGAAACAAATTAGCCAAAATTCAAATGTTTCATAAATCGGACTGAGGTTGGTCTAATGTGACGGAGAATTCAATCACCAACAAACGAGGTTTGTAACGGAGAATTTTTTGATAGGGTGTTCAAGTTGTGAATTTTCATTAAAAATGTCAGAAATGATGAATTTTGCGTACCCCTTCACCTCCTAACTTCGAAAAATCGCCAAAAATGAAATTTTCGGCCGATCAGGCTGGTTTTAATCTCATTTGACGCAGAAATTAATCCTCTACAGATGTTGTTTCGAGCTGTTTTACGGTCAGGCAAACGGTTTACTAACAATTTCTCGAATAAGGTCAAAAAACGTGGTTTTTCATGCTCAGAACTGAAGAGTTTGCGAACACAGGTTCATAGGACCTTTTTTTACTCAGCATTCAATTTCCTATAAGGTCTGGAAGTGTAGTTGAATCGATTGGAGCCACCCTGTATATACAGACTCAAAAGATCTGATAAGATAACATAAACTGCTCAAAATACTTGATAACAGATTGACCTTTGTACTACAAAACAAGCGTAACCAATCTAGATGAGCGATATTAAACAGTGGGGTTTCACCAAGTATTCGAACTTCCAAAGAATTCAGTCCAAAATCCTTTGAAACTTCAACAATCTACTTCGTATCTACCTTAGTCTACTGTTGGTGCAGGTTTTTGCAACTAGAAGAGAAAAAGCCACAACCGAGATCCTACAGTAAGGAGCCGCTGGCAAAGTTTAGGTGGATTAACAACCTGAACATTGGCCGGTGAATATAAAAAAAAAATAGACAAGGACAATAGTTCTACTCGGGTCGAAGTGCAGAAGGCTTTGTAGCCACCTCTTTTATCCCTAGTTTGTGAAAAACAAACTATTTAGTTCGACGGATTTACAGTTGCATGTTAGTTGCAAGTGTCCTCGCTTTCGTACAAATCCTTCGCAGTCACTTCTGGGGCCAAACTGTTGCGCAACTAAAAAATGCATGTGTGTTCCTAGCCTTAATGAATTCTGAGCCTCTGTCTCAAATGGTTACGGTGTAACACCGGCCAGTGTTCAAGTGTAAAAGCGAAGAAAATTTTCATTTGATGTGAAATTAGCTAGCCAGCCTATTCGTTCAGAAGCGATTAGAACTACAAACATGTGTTTCTGCTTGTGTTGAAATTTGTATTCTGCTTAATAATCCAAATACCTTAAACGGACTCTTCCCATTAAATCCCTACGTAATCAGTGAAGAAGACGGACTGAAAAAGTTGGCAAATCAGTGGCCCAGTACGGATAAAAACTTGTTATAATAAATATTTTAAAAAGAAGAAAATCTGTCTTAGTTATTTTTACCTTGGATGGATGGACAACGTAGGAATTTTTGAGAGCCGTGTAATTTCTGTATGTGTAGAATCCGCCGGCTGGCCTCGGGCCCGAACTCGTGGCGCACAATAATTTCCCCTTCTGTTTCAGTAAATTTGGTATGTTCTTGTTGAAAATAAACCCGTTTATTAGAAAAGAAGTTGCCATGTTTTGTACCAGTCTAACAGCTGAAAAAAGGAAAAAGGAAAGAAGAGGGTTGATAAAGTATCGATTATGAATTTACTGATGCAGACAGACACAAGGGTCTCAATGCTAACGTCGACATCGCTGCAAACCTCTCAGAAATTGAACTACATTTTTGATTTATGCTATACTCTTATAACCATAGACTATACAACTAACAAGTTTTCAAATTTTAATTAGTAGCGAAAAGCATAAATGAAACAATATTACACCACAGTTCACAATACTTAGTAAATTCCTGTTACAGTCCTTGGCAATGTTAGGACTGAGTCGGTCTGGGAAATTTGAGATTGCCTGTAAAAAAACAATTTACAGACATATTTGAGATTCGCCCTGATGATGACCTTTAATAGGTCGAAAGCTTGGCGGTAACAATTGAATTTTTTTTTCTCTCTTTTGTACGAGGGTTCGGAACAGCAGAGGTCATATAAACCCTCAGGGTGCCGGTGTTTTTGAAAAAAAAGCCCATTTGTATGTCGGGTTCGAATGCAGGGCCGCTGGATTCGAACCCGGGACAATTACCTTACAGTGATGAGCGCCGTGTCAACGCCTAAACCGTTGCGGCCACCGACGTCCCTTAACAACTGTAATTTACTTTGCTTTTTTTCAAGATCATACCTTGATCCAGGGTGTTCGTGAGTGAAAAAAGTGTTCGATACTTCTAGTACTGAAAAGCGTTCTAGGGAAACAACAAAAAAAGAAAACGGAAAATTTCGGGCCTCTGTATCAGTCCCTGCTCTCTTAACTACCACCTAAAAAAATAGACCAAACAAAGACAGATTGTGGGATAACAAGAACAAATATAGAATACTCCATCGCAAAATGGATCCAAACAAAACAAAAGGAGAAGTGGATAAACTCCGCGGTGCTAGACATAGTAAACTTATGATGAAGCAACCCTCACCGAGACTGGCAAAAACCTGCTGCAATTAGAGAGGGCCAAACTCAGAGGAGTGGTAGGACTAACCAAGCATCTGAGATAACATATACACAACATGGGTATATACAACGATGATCCCATTTGCAGATTCTGCAATGAAGAGGAAGAAACAGCCACCCATATCATCTTCGAATGCAAAGCAACAGCTCAATGGAGATTTAACCTAACGTATGGAAAAAACTTAGGGAATCAAATTGCAGCAGCGACAGTCAATGACCTGATCCTCCTAAGAAGAAGGATTGAGTCTATTGACTGAACTAAGGAACTAGGAAGGTACAATAAGCCAGAAGGCTGCAGTGCCTGGGGAGTACAAACCCCGCTTCCTAGTATCCTTTTCTATCATACCATACCAAGACAGATTGTTGAGCTCAGTGGAGGTTTAACTTAACGTACAGAAAAAACTTAGGGAATCAAATTTCAGCAGCAACAGTCAATGCCCTGACATTTCTAGGAAGAAGGATTGAGTCTATTGACTGAACTAAGGAACTAGGAAGGTACAATAAGCTAGAAGGCTGCAGTGCCTGGGAGCGCAAACCTCGCTTTCTAGTATCCTTTTCTACCATACCATACCAAGACAGATTGTTGAGAAAAACGAAAGACATTGGTACTTATCCTGTCTGAATATAAAGCCCAGTACATCCAATTGGAAAGACAATTATTACACAACAAGAAGTGAGCTAAGAGGAACTGAGGAAATTAATTAGTATTGTAGAAAAAAAATACTCTTTCCAAGTTTATAAAGGTGCGCAGTGAAGGAAAAAACTTTAACCCCCCAACATATAAAAAATGGGCACCTTATTCCTAGAGAACCACCACCTCAATGCTTGATGTAGTATAATTTGGGCAGCTTTAACTTAGGTTATAGGTTAAAGGTTATTGTGAACTCAATTGATTGGACAATATGGACTTTGAAGACTAATATTTTAGTTGTGCCTTTACTTAAGTGTAGCCCAATTCTACCAGATCCCTTTTGCCGTTTTTGCAAAATAAAAGAAGAAACGACAAGGCACCACCTCGCAGAGTGTGATAGGTATGCTAGGTCAAAGATTTGAAATCTTTGAAGGAGAGGACATCACTAAATCACTCCCTGAGATTAAATGTTCCAAAATCTTTTGGTTTGTGAATAGGTCCAAGAGATTTATGCAGGACACGTGAGCCGACCAAGTCCCGGACCTTTTAGGGATGGGGTACGAGTCTACCCAGGCATTTAAATTGCCCATCCTGCATAATATAAATATATATGTGTAGCCCATTTGCATTAAACCACTTCTCAAACAAATTCATTCGTGTGACATCTTTCTTTTAAAAAAATCGATATTTTCTCATTTTAAAGCTGATGGCATCAGCAAATCCTAATTTTATATGTGCCAATTTATTAAAGAAGCCATTAGAATAAATTAGATATAAGAGTGGCCCTAGACCTGATCCTTGAGATACACTCTTTTAGATTTGTTTTTAACAATTGATGTCTATTTTTTAGATAATACGAAAGGAGATAAATATTACTACTTGGGAAATATTACTAATAGACAATCCAAGCTTTCAGTGATTTTTATTAGAAGATGTCATTGTATAAACTTTAAGTAGTATCTTCTATGCGATCAACCAGTCTTTACTCTATAATAGTTTTGTAGATTAGTAAAGTTTTATCTTCAACATATTCCGAAGTGTAATTAGCAAAGTTAAGAATCGCATTTTGTTTATTCTTACCATGCTGAAATAAAAAATTGGTTCTTTTAGAAAAGATTACAGTACTCAAAGTGAAAAACAATTTTTTTAAAATTATTAGTGAACAAAATGTGGTTGGAGATAATTTGAAGTTTATTAACAAGCTAGGCTTGTTGCAGTTGTTAAATAAGCTTGGTTTAACTTTTGTTAAGTTGGTAATAGGTTGCTGCTAGTTTTCCTTTTTACATTTTTGTAAGGCCATTTGTTAATATGCGACGAGTAACTCAAGCACGTCATTGAATAGGTTCAAGGACGTTCTGTTATCAATGACTCTTGTGTGCTTAGACGCATGCAGATTATGTAGTTTTGTTGACTCGACGTTTCGCATATCAGTCAAGCACGTGCTTTTTTTTCTCCTTTGAGTCCAGTTTTCAACAAATGTCCGAGACACTTGTCGAATTGGCCGAAAAGGAGAAAGGAGCCGGTGGCGACTGCATTTCCCCGCTGCCGATCGAGGTGAAACAGGAAGAATTCGGGCCCAAACTTAAAATACTGCCGACCAACGATCAGGTCAGGGAGTTGCAGACCATCCTGAGGGACAGGTACGAAGAATATAAACGATTTGAATTGAAGTAAGGCGTGAAGTGCAAGTTGGAGGAAAGCTGTCATCAGTAGTAACTTCCTGATCTCAGCATCAGTCGACAAAGATCTTGATCAATCTGCGACAATTGTTAAAGAGTTACTTTTTATTGTCAATTCAATTCCTACACATGAATAATATCGTGCGTATTTATGACATATACAATTCATCGATCGTTAAATGATTTAAAAAAAAAATTAATTTGTTAAGACTAGGGCCAACACAGCATCCAGAGGATATCTATTGCCAATGGTGGCATAAGTTATTATCAGATTTAGGACAAGGAAATCTCGGGCCATCGTTGTTTGAGGCTAAAAAGATTGGCGTGTAACTTGAAGCGAGAATGATAAATTCTTAAATGAATAAATTTGAAATTAGAGGCTTAGAAAGGATCATCTTGGGATTTTGGATTGGAATGCTTGGATTAGTTTGATATTAGATGGCTTGTTGCATCACTTCTCTCTATATGGTCAAATTGGTCGAAGTAATGTTTTGTACGGTATTGGTATGGCAAAAAAGGATACTAGGAAGCGGGGTTTGCGCTCCAAGGCACTGCAGCCTTCTGGCGTATTGTACCTTCCTAGTTCCTTAGTTCAGTGCAATAGACTCAATCTTTCTCCTTAGAAGGATCAGGTCATTGACTGTCGCTGCTGCAATTTGATTCCCTAAGTTTTTTCCATACGTTAGGTTAAATCTCCATTGAGGTGTTGCTTCGCATTCGAAGATGATGTGAGTGGCTGTTTCCTCCTCCTCATTACAGAATCTGCAAATGGGATCATCGTTGTATATGCCCATGTTGTGTATATGTTATCTCAGATGCTTGGTTAGTCCTACCACTCCTCTGAGTTTGGCACTCTCTAATTGCAGCAGGTTTTTGCCAGTCTTGGTGAGGGTTGTTTCACCATAAGTTTACTATTTCTAGACTGCTAGAGTTTATCCACTTCTCCTTTTGTTTTGTTTGGATCCATTCTGTGATGGAGGATTCTATATTTGTTTTTGTTATCCCAAGTGTAGGTTCAGGGCCTATGTATGGTCTTGCAGATCCTCCTCTGGCCAGACAGTCAGCTTTGTCGTTACCCAAAATTCCCCTGTGCCCTGACACCCAAGATATCATCAGGTTGTTGTGTTCCCCAGGTTTTGGAGATTTTGGATGCATTCACTGACTAATCTTGATGTGATTCTTTTACACGCTAATGCTTTAATGGCTGCTTGGCTATCAGATCTTATGAGGATTTTTTTTTTTTCCAGTATAACCTCTTTTCAGATTTTCCAGGGCACAAGCATTGATGGCATGTATTTCTGCTTAAAAGGCCGATGTGTACTTCCCTAATGAGCTTGATTGGTTTTGGGCTTGTACAGAAAACACCTGATCCAGTTCCTTTGTTTGTTTTGGAGCCATAGGTATACCATATCATTGTATCTGATGCTCTCCTGTGTTCTTCCTCTCCTTTATAGTCCGTTGAGACTTTATAGGAAGTTGTGAAGAATGTTTCCGGGATCATATAATCAGTGCCATTTTGTAAGGTATTTGTTCATTATATGTAATCATATATGATTTCAGTCATACATTATTCGTAGCTGTTCAAATAATCTGTTTAGTTCTTGTCGCTTAAGGCTGGCATTCTTGCCACTGTGGGATTAAGGGGCGAGCCTCTGGGCAGATTTCTTTTAAGGCAAATAGGGAGGATTCTAAGGGGTGAGAAACAGTAGAGGGCTTGAATGGAAAAGTTAGAATGAGAAGTTTTTACAGTGATTGGCTTGCCAAAGTACGCACAAACATGTCAGTACAAGTCCGCCATTTAAATGTGGTGATTTTTCAGATCTGTTCTGATGTTAAGTCCACCCCGTGCATTCTACAATAGAATGGATAAGTCTAGACTGGATGTTGGAGGAAAAAAAATAGAAAAAACGGGATATTGTAGGTAAAAAATGGCTGATGATTTTGAAAGAGCGTTGTTCGTACTCTCCTTTATCATCCCTTGCTGCAACCAATTCTTTAATATGTTCTATGCTCGTGATTGTTTGTTGATGATTATTCTACTGCTCAGCACTTAAACTTTTAACAGCGGATTTTCCAAAATATACATATCATTTTTCATTTTTGCTGAAACTAGAGGCATGCTGATAGTCATAATAGGCACCACATGTGGTTACACTCAATGGTTATTGAGTTCTGACTAATAAATCTGAGTAAATATTCTGAAGTAGAGTTCGTCAGATACACTGTAACTACAGCCTTAGAGTGAAACTTCAGGTATCGGAAACGGATCGACTTTTAAATGCAGGCCATTTAGGATTGTATCAGGGTCCTGGCCCAGGTGTCTGACATTGGGAAAAAACAAATGTATTCTGTCTAGGTACCAGGGCACACAGGTCACAAGGGCAATGAAGAAACTTATAAAATGGTCAAGGAAAGTTTGACAAGGATCCCCCCCGAGGAGCTCTGAGGTAGTGGTTGACCAAGATGTAAGACAGCTAGAGAGAGACAATTTTTTTACGTAACCTCCTAACAGCTTCTTGGTAGGTAGTCAACACCAAAGGGGGTGAGCTGTACATCAGCATAGAAGGCTTTGTGGAATAACCCAGTCTGTAGATGTCCCAGAACAGGTTCTCTATTACTGGACAGGCATTAAATAGAAAGGCAACTATTCACAAATCAGCAACTTACTAGGACACTTGAACAATGGGGGGGGGGTGTTCTTTTCACAGATAAGTGCCAGTTTGGTTGTGGTAATCAGATAACCGGGACTGTATGTGAAAAAGTTGTTGAAAAATCTTTGCTTCATTTGCCATGCGTGAGTCACTATTCAAAGACTGTCAGTTATGAAATGGGGTGGAATCACTATCCATGCGCCCATACCGATTATCTTACAGAATGGGTCTTTGACTGCACTAAGTTACATTGAGGAATTTCTTCTGGAAGTTGTAGTCCCATTCGCTACATTTTTTCTTGGGAACAACTTCACGTTAATGCATGATAATACTCAACTGCATGTAGCTTGATCTGCACCCATTACTCGGAGGATCTAGGGATGACTTAATGAATTTGCCAGCACGTTCTCCTGACATGCAATTAATATAACGATAAAAAATACACATAGTTTGAAATAAGCATCAAAATATGTATGTCTGGTATTTTGTCTTTGAGTGTATGTTTTGCATACTTTCTTGATAATATTGATATATCCATTAGGCATTATTGTCACCAAGCTGATTGTTTTGGTGTTACAGGAATACGACTAGAAGTGATTTTAAATTTTATGCTGATCGTTTGGTAAGTTATGAAAGTTATCTCTTCCTACGGCTTATTATTCATGTTTTCCTGAATTTCAGATAAGATTGGTAATAGAGGAAAGTTTGAACCAGTTACCTTTTAAGAAATGTATTATTACCACACCGACTGGTGCTCAGTACAATGGGCTAAAATACGAAAGGGGAAATTGCGGTGTCAGCATTGTAAGAAGTGGAGAATCGATGGAACAGGTACAGCTCAAAATAAATGGCCTGCCTTCCACCTGTTCTTACTTTTCTTTGCCGTTTCGCAGGGACTTCGTGATTGCTGTAGATCGATTAGGATCGGTAAAATATTAGTTGAATCTGACATCGAGACTCATGAAGCACGGGTCGTTTATGCGAGGTTTCCTGAGGATATTTCCTCAAGAAAAGTTCTCCTTATGTACCCAATTATGAGTCAGTATTATTTGAACCCAAAGCATAAACCCTTTTATCATTTATTAATTTTTATTCCAGGTACAGGTAACACTGTGATAAAAGCAGTCGCTGTGTTGAAAGAGCACAATGTGCTTGAAGAAAATATAATATTGTCTAATTTATTTTCGACGCCATTTGCAGCCAAAGCTGTTGTACAGGCTTACCCTTTGGTAAAGTAAATTTTCATTGTTATGCCAACATAACATTTATTGATTGTGCCTTTTCAGATGACAATACTAACATCAGAACTCCATCATATTGCCCCAAATCATTTTGGCCAGAAATATTTTGGGACTGATTAATTTTTTAAATTTTATGTTAATTATAATAACAAAGTTAAAAACTATTGCTGTTTAAGTATGAATTCTTAATTATAATTGATGCTGTGCATTAATCTCTCCAATATATAAATAAGAAATATGGATTTAAAAAAGATGTAATTCCATCATAACTGTGTTTGTAAATAAGATTGTTTTTTTACACTTTTTACTATCTTTTCAGTTTGATTCTTCTATGACGTTGGTTATATTTCTACTAGTCCAAATAAAAATGTATTATTTATTCTAAATTTACAGTCACATTTTTTTAATTTATTTATTTTTCTTTATGAATTAATTGATTATTTATGTCCTGTGTGTTATATTTACTGTAAATAAACCATACAGAACAGTTGTATTTTTCATTCATACATCCCAAAATAATTAACATTCAGTAATGTTTTTACGGATTTCCATGAAGTCATTTATTGACCTTTTTTTACACAGAAACAAAACAACATAATTTTATTCTGATCATTTTGGCCTATTGTGATTGTCCTCACTAGTGTGATCTGCCACATGTGTTTTTCGGTTTTTACTAAGCATTGGCCAGAGATTGTATAACAAAAACTGGGAAATAAACCCCTGGATGGCATATTTGGAACTCACTTGTAAGGTGGCCAAAAACACTGGACAAGGAGATACAAAACACTGTGAAGTACATAAATACTAGAGCATTTCTTCTTAATATAACAAGGAAAATGGTACTTTCATTCATTCGTTGGCAATTCCACCCTTTTATAGTCCTTGTTTAGATACAGAGGGCTTTTGAGGGTGCCAGCAAACTCCTGAGACAAAAGGAAAGAAAGCCAGATCTAAGGAGAAGCGATCACAGAATTCTAGAGATAAAATAAATAATATGTCTATAATGATATCTGACAAAATGAGAGGAAAACAACTTTCACAGACCCTTCTGTGGTCATAGATAACAGAGACTTAGGAACAATGTTACACTGTGGTACATGCATATTGCATGGATCAAAGAACAGGGAGTAGGTGCAGGGGTAAAATTTAAGCCAAATTACCCCCCTAGTAACACTCCTTGGACATCCCAACAATATTCCAAGAGTCCATGTGATCCTACTCAGTGCACAGGAGTTGATCAAGAAAAATATGAAAGTGCAGAAGTTTTAACTTTCAGACAGCCACCAAATGCTCAACTGGTTTCAACTCCAAACTTGTCTGGGAGGACCTAATGGATCTAGGAGGACAACAAACCTTAAAGTGGGTTCCGGGACAAAATGATAAAGAAGGAAACAAACAGGCTAATCAACTAGCCAAAAAAGGGGCAGGCATCACATTAGACCAGAACCAGTGCTAGGTGCATCGATTCCAACAGGCAGGATTTGAGGAAAATTATTGACTTCTTTATCAACCATTACCCTCTTAAGTCCTTAAAGAAGATGGGCAAAGCAGAATGAGAAAAGAGAGAGACAAAAGAAGACATGTTTTCTTGCATTAGAGAAGAATAAATGATAAATGTCAAATGGGGTAATATGATAGGAGTAAGAACTAAGAATTTTAAAAAAATGCCATCTGAATCAGTCAATAATTTAATTTCAACGAGGTTTTTGAGATGTTCAGGGACTAGATTAAGGATAAAACAATCAAGATCAAAGTGCTCTGACTCATCAAAAATCAGCAATGAGAAAAAAACATTGGGATTAGCATGTTCTGATCTGAGCTGTTTCTCTTTATTTGAAATATTAAAGTGCTTTTAGAAGTTGTTGAAATATTTGGGCTGACCAATATTTAACGCGGAGAAATTTTATTTTCATAAATTATTATTAGTGAGAGTTAAACATTAATGATTTTATGATAGATCTTTGTAGAAAATAGTTTGGGATTTGTCATTGGGACGGCCCTGCGCGTGTTTTGTCGATGCGCGTGACTCGATTCGGTCTGGATCGATGGGGAAAAGACAAGCGACGACTTAGCAGAGCGGGCCGCAGGGTGGGGTATTTTTGTCGGAAGGGAGGAGTTACTGAGTTAGCTGCTGAGCGGAACGGCTACGGACCACTTTTCATCCGTGTTCTCGGTTGAAATTACGACCGACATACAAAAAAAAGCTCCTCTTTGTTGTCGTCGACGATCTCGGTGCCGGCGCCGGACAAGAAAATGGTCATCAAGGTCTACACGTCCGGGATTTCCGGAAATAAAGAAGTGAGCCCTTTTTTTTTCTATTTATTTATACGATTGAATTTTGTGCCATCGACTTTATTAATGACCGCCGAAATAACCTTCGGCTCTTATTTAAGTTTTCAATGAATTGATATCCTCGTCGAAATTGCTGTTAAACTGGCGAAACTGAACTGGTACGACGCATTTTACGACCTGAAGGACAAAACCGACAAAAGATTGTGCGAAAGACGTCCTTGTTTATTGTCTTCCTCCCTTCATCAATTGTCAACTTTTCATTTCCTTATCAGTCAAATAATGAGAGAACACTTAATTAAAAATTTTGAATATTTTCCAAATTTTATTAAAGGCTTGAATTTTAATGAAAAAAAGTTTTTATTTTTAGATTTTCTTGTTTTTGCATCTTGTACTCTTTCATGAAAATGAAAAATAAAGAGAAATTTGATAAACACTTAAGTTTTATCACACCCCTAAACATAAATTGAATCTTCTTTTTTCACTTTTAGCCTTAATTATTTCTACCGATTGAATTTTGTTAAAAGTAAATATTAAATTAATATCAATATAGTACTTATTAGTCATAACTCCTATCAGTTTTTGTCGTCGTCACATAGGATATGTAGATTAATAAAACAAACATGTTGTAACCTAGCATTTTCAAATTGTAATGACATTATTGACAATCGTAGCTCCGTAAGTTAATAAAAACAATTTAAACAGCGTTGAAATTTCTCATGTCAATTTAGCAGAAGTAAAAATTAAATGACAGCTGCTGAGACTTGCGAACTTGAGACTATTTCTGGCACAGGACACCGACTCACAGGAATTAAAATCCTCAATCGATATTAATTTAAACTATTATTCAGAAATCGTGAGATGCGATCTGGTGTGATGTAGGTTTCAGAAAAACATTTTCTTTATCGTGCCAACGTGCCACCAATCAACTTTGATTGAATATAAAAAATATATTTTCATTGTATAAATTCACTTTTTCTCCACATCCTACATGTATTTGTTAAATTTAAACAACAAATCCCAGGCCCTGAAGATGATCTCAATAAAGATCGAAACATTGGCACGATAAAGAAAATGTTTTTCTGAAACCTACATCACACCGGACCGCATCTCACGATTTCCGAATAATCATTGACTAACGGTCACTAATCACCATATATTAATTTAAACTATTATTCAAAAATCATGAGATGCAGTCTGGTGTGATGTAGGTTTCAGAAAAACATTTTCTTTATCGTGCCAACAATCAACTTTGATTGAATATAAAACATATATTTTGCATTGTATAAATTCACTTTTTTTACACATCCTACATGTATTTTTTTAAATTTAAACAATGTTTGTAAATCCCAGGCAATGAAGATGATCTCAATAAAGATCGAAACATTGGCAAGATAAAGAAAATGTTTTTCTGAAACCTACATCACACCAGACTTCATCTCATGATCTCTGAATACTCATCGATTAACGGTCAGTAATCACCACGCATTAATTTAAACGGAAAGAACCAATTAAAAAAACAAAAACAAAAAAAAACATTGGGCAAGCCTAATCATTACAATTGGTCAAAGTTAGGCTTGTGTCATAAAGAGGTGAAAGTTTTCTCGTATTTGCGTACATGTGCAGAAACGAGCTTATGAATCACCACTTAGGTGGCAGTCTGGTGTCAGACCTCGGTCATATCTGTACCACCTTCAAATCTAGACTTAATGGGGTATCAACAGGTCCATTTCTGCCCCTAACATTTGTAGCATTAAATTAAACATGCTCACTCTCTCTCTCATTTTTAAATACATTCTCTCTTATATACATACCTTTCATTCAAGGGTGTAGAGTAATAAAAAAATCTATATACAAATGACTTCAGTTACCTACGTCCTAAAGATTCGCTGCCATACTCAATATTCCCCTATAGGCCCTCTCATACTACACATTCACACTAATAAATACATTCAGCCTCAATAAACACAAGATGAGTTATCCAGAAAGTACTATAGTATCCAGTAAAATAGTTCTGTATCATCCAAAATACTTCTTGGGAAAAGGGAGAATTTTGAGCTAAGAGAACAATGAACTTGTATAGCAAATTATATTATTCTCAAGCGTGCTCAAGCACGATTGTCATATTGGGTGGCATTCTTACTCGCTCCATCTATGAAGCCAAGGAATGTGGATAATGAATATGGATACTAAGAAGTTGGGGGGTTTGTGTTACCCAAGAACTGCACCCTTCTGGTTTATTATACTTTTCCTTGTTCCCTTAATTCAGTGCAATGCTGCAATTCCTTTCCATAAGTTTTCTTTGAAGACCTGTTGTCTCCACTGAGCGGTTCATTCGCATTCAAAGATGTCTTGTCACTCCTCTGAGTTTAGCCCACCTCTAACTATAGTAGTGAGTAAACTTGGTGAGGGTTGTCTTAACATAAGCTTGCCAAAGAGTTTATTATGATTACTATTATTATTATTATTATTTTTTTTTTTTGATCCCGAGATGTTGGATTTTGTTTGTTTTTGTCATCCCAAGAATTCATTTAGGGCCTATAAATGGTCTTAAGATTCTCTGACAAAGAAAGACACTCTTCAGTTAGGTGGGGCACATAGAACACAACCTTTTTCTGCATGCCGAACATATAAAAGGACTTTTGCACAAAAATGTCAATGAGTATGGCCAATTCTGAGTTTGGTTTGAAGGATCCATCTGCGGTTTAGACTTTGTAGGCCACTTATCAATCATGCTCTTGATGAAGACAAAGTTGATAAAAGGATCATTTGTTGGATAAATTATTGAATATGCCATCCAGTAGTCTACTAAGATTGTTCTTAGAAAGAATCAAATTCAATGGTCGAAGAGATTGAATTGGTTGTATACTCAATTAATAGAAAAATTAAGAGTAGTCAGTGTCAATAGATTTGCTTGCAATTGGTTTGGTAATTTTTTATATTGACTGTATACCTCCCAAACTTCTTAGAAATCTCATAATAATCACAAATCAATTGATGTGAAAGTTATTTTGATCTAAATATTTTCACTGGATTATACCAGGTGATAAAACTAAAGCAGGCATCTGTTAGGTTTTTTTTTACTCCTAAATATTAATTTTGAACAGCATTTGTTAAATTAATGTTTCTCGTATGAAATTTGGTGGGAAAGTAATAAATGAAATGAAATAAATCTGCTTGAATCTGATTGTTAATAATTGGACAGTTTATTTTAGCGTGGGGATTAGGGCCAAATTTTAATATGATGTACATCAAAAGTCTGAATATTAAAGAACATTTTAGGTCTGGCCTTAAATATTTAGCAAAATATCAGCAAAAATACACATTTATCATTTGCATGGATCATTTTCTCCAAAGAAGAAAGTATTTTGGTATAAATCAGTTTTTTAAGTTTTCCCCCTTACAAACAAATATTTAATATCGAGCATTTATTTTTTATTTCAAACCTTGTTGCTTTAAATTAAGTGATAACACTAAAAAACTAGGAACAGTAAAATTTATATGCCAGTGCTGACTAACTTGTAAGGTATAAATTGGGCCAAAAAGTATAAATCGTAGGTTGGAATTATTGTTAAAAATAATATAAAGAGGGTGTATGTCGAAATTGCCAAGTTTTCTTCAAAATAAAAAAACATAAAATATAATACAAAAGATTGACATTTTAAAAATTAGAAGACATTTTATGGCAGAATTATTTGTTGCAAAAATACATTTATCATCTTAATTCGTTGTCTCTGTTTCTGTTATCAAAGAGGCAAAAATAAACACTACTAAAAATTTTTGTTGATTAATATATACAATTATTGCAGTGGAACCGTAAAATAATTAGGTTATTTGGTACTTCCTTTATCTGCTAACCAGTGATGAAGATTCTGCACCCTCAGGGCAGTAAAATTTCGCAAAATGAGAGAACTGCATATTCCAGCGTCTTTAGACCTGACTGTGTATATTCAATAAAGTCGGGAAGGAAACTTTCTCATAAGACATGAGAAAGAAAAGTAAAAAGTTCTTCAATGAATTTGTATGAAAAGTTTACTCTTTAAATCGCAATCCTGAAAAGTTGTGTTTTTGGATTTATCCAGTTTTTGTCCCGAGAGGCAGAATAGTTATTCAAATATTACTTTATTATACTTAAAATAAAACTTGAGGAATTAATTTTTCAATTTCTATTGGTATTAAATAAAACATGCTATTACAGATAACCAAAAGTGAAGAGTGGAATAAAAAAAGGCACACATTTTGTCATTATAAGCAAGTTTGATATCAGAATAACATATGTACTATATTCTTATTTTTTAAAGTGAAAAGTCAACAGTGACATTTGGCATATGCCGGATTTTTATTGGCGAAACATGTAATCTTTGAAACAGTCTTTTCTTACCTCTAATAAGATACAAAAATAAATTGTTCAATTATGGTAAAACTCATGAATAGATGACTCAAAACAAAATTATAATAGAAGTTTTGACTAATTATAAATAAAATTATCAGGCTATAAGTTGGTTTTACATTTATCTATAGGAAGGTCAGTAGTGGTCTTTTTTATACCATGACTGAGTGTGATATGACTCATGATTGTATGAGCAATCTTCTTCATATGACTTATTCCTGTGACTGTCCTTAATTATTCATAAATTATAATGTTATGCCCTATGGCATAATATTTTTGTACTTAGTAAAAATGTGAATATTCTAAAAAAACAGATAGGTGGTTTTTCTCATAGGAAAATCTTTTAAGGAAATAATCAAGGCTGATTTACATTACAATCAGGAGTGGTACAGTTAATTGAGATGCTTTCTGATTCACTTAACTGTTTTAATTATTTTCACAGATTGTTGAACCTCTGTTAATTAAAGCTTGCTTCTTCTTTTTTTTCCAGGTCAAAAAGAAACAACAGAGGATAATGATGATCCTAGAAAGTAAAAATGTAACCTATGTGACAGTAGATATCACAGAACCAGGAAACGAGGAAGAAAAGAGTTTTATGCAGGAAAATGCCAAGCCGAAGGATTCGTCCAAACACCCGATCCCACCACAGATCTTCAACGATACTGATTATTGTGGCGTAAGTCAATGTTCATTTGATTTTAATTGTCTCATGCTCTGCTTAGCTGGCTCTGTTTATTGATTGCCACATCTTGGCCATGCATCAAATTTATTATCTATAATTTTAAGTGTAATTAATTAACCATTAATAAATTAAAATCTTTTTTATTTATAATTCACAGTTAATATTCACATTTTTTTTCTATACAATAAAAAGCAATAATTTTTCATCAAAATTACTTATAGTTTTGTTATTTTAATATTTTTTTTTTAGGACTATGACGGATTTGATCTAGCGAACGAAAATGATGAATTGGAGACGTTTTTAAAAATGCCTTTACCTCCTTCACCTCCTGTTGTAAATGGCAATCATGAGGTATAAAATTGATTTAGATACTATAGTTGCATGATATAATATGAACAATTATTTATTCATCGACTTGAAGATTGGTATGTTGCCTTAATACATTATACATGCTGCTACACCTTTTTTAATTATGGAACATAGCTGAAATTACTGTTGAAGTGTTTTTCTAGTGAAAAAATATATACGCATATTTACTCTTTGAAAAACTTAAAATTTTGGGCGTGACTTCATGAAACTACAAAAGAAATTATTATTTTCTTTTAAGAATACCATTTACCTTTTTTTTTTTTTTTATATTGACCCTCAAGGTGCTGGTTTAAAAAAAAAAGAAAATTGAAAACGTGTTGGGTTTGAATGCAGGAGCACTGGGTCAGATCTAAGAAGAGAAATAGCTACAGAGAGAAATAATGTAGCTATATTCTCAGTTAGGAGAAGCTTAAAAAAAATTTATGTTGCTTGTTTGACATTCTATTGTTTATGGTAGTTTGCAACAACCCTGGAATAGGCAAATTTTTTTGTATCAGAAAGATTGTATTCTATATTCTAAAATTGGCATTGATAATAGCAAAAAATTACTGTATAAATTCATCGAGAAAAACCTTAAAGGTACACTTCTAGTACAGTAAGATAACAGTACAACTGGTAAACAATGATAAAGACTTCACATAAAAATTTAAAAAAATCATTTCTACATGTTAATGAATATTTTGTTGTTTATTTCACACTATATGAATTTTTATCATTATATTAATTACAATACATCTATTTTAATGTTAACTAAATTAAATGAGATTAGAAATTCGAGTTTTAATAAAAAATATTTAATTTTGACGGTTTTGAAAGAAAATTCACCAAAACACCAGAAAATCATTTAGTGATTGATTTAACTAACAATTTATTTTCAATTAATTGAGATTTTGGTTGAGATAAGAAAGTCAGTGTCACGAGCGGGATTCGAACCCACGACCTTCGGCTAGATACGCCGCTCCTGTACCACTTGAGCTCTCGTGACTTCGATCCATTCGGACACTAACTTCCCATCTCAACCCCACCTTTTGAATTTTCCCTCCTTATCTCAACCAAAACCTTAATTAATTGAAAAGAATTTATTTGGTTAAGCGGACCATGAAATGTAATAAATTTAATAAGCGAAATGAAGTATATTTCACTGAAGCTCTCCGTGGCCAATTCATTTGTCGCCGAGAATCAAATAGATTACACGGCATTTGAAAAATAGTAAAAATTGCTTCTTTCAATTAATTCAGCTTTATGTAAGTCACGATAGCTCAAGTGGTAGAGCAGCGGCGTATTTAGCCGAAGATCGTGAATTCGAATCCCGCTCGAGACACTGACTCGAGACCTCAACCAATACCTTTCATAAATATTAATTAACTCAGATAATCGTTCCACATAGTTTTGATCTAAAGATCAGACTGCTAAAAACTGTTCAATACTTCTCTAATTTTATTACTTCAATATTACATTTTCTATTTATAATTAAACTATATACAATATTTTTTATTTATTTTTGCAGCATTCCACTGAAAAGGATACAAGTGACTCTCAGGTCATAGAAAGGTGACTATTTTATTAATAATGTTTTTAACTATTAAAACAGTACTCTTGTTGTATTGGCTTTTATACAGGTCCATGTATGTTTCTCTCCCAGCCCCAATGTATTTATTTGTTCTCATTTATTACACTTAATAATAATTTTCTATTTATTTTTTCTACAAAAGGCAGGAAGAACTAATAAATTCCATGGTTCCGAAAACAGCATTAAAAGAAGAACCTGTTAAAGAGGTTTGAATCAGAATTTGACTGCAGACTTTTTACTTGATCGAAAGTGTTGTCAGTTTTTTTATTTTTTATTTTATTTTAAATCACACGAATAGCTGTGACCGAATAAGAGCTTTTAACTCGCTTTTTTAACAATGAAAGCACTGCTTGTTTCTTGAATCAATTTTTAAATATATATTTACTTCTCTTCAGGGGTTCATCGATCGTTATGCAGTTAATTATGCCTCAATGGTGTTTTGGATTTTAGGTAGAGGAAAATATCCACGGGTTTTGCTACACTCCTGGTTTGGCCAAACGTCTCGAAAAGGCCCTCAAGGATAGAATTCACAAGGCAAAGCCTACTGTCTGTTGTCTTTATATACCTTTTGTTTATTGTCCCTTGTGAAATGGTTGTTTTTTCTTTTGACAAAGAAAACAAAACAAGAAAAAAAATGCATGATATTAAAAAAAGATTTGCATATTTTTATACAATATTGATTTTTGATTGATCAATATGTCATTGTAGTAAAAGCATTATCACAAAAAAAAAAGTTACAAGCATTTTCCAGTAAAGTTGATATATTTCTTATTTTATTCTTAGAGTTTATAAGATCTAAACTCCTATAAAACCTTTGTACATATTATTTAACTTTTATGTGAATTTACCTTGTTCAAACTTGACAATTGAATCATTTTTGTCTGCCAATCAATGATTTGTCATTTACATACATTTTGCCATCATCAGCCAGACAGACAACCTCTGACAACACTAAAATAAATTAAAATTAATTAAGGTTTTTAGTTGAGATAAAAACCTTAATTAATAGTAATATATTAATTGGTCAAGCAGACCATAAAATTAGTGAATTTAATGATTTAAAATGAAGTATACTTCACTAAAGCTCTCCGTGGCCATTTCATTTGTCGTCGAGAATCCAATCCGATTACACGACATTTGAAAAATGGCAAAAAGGAGGGAAAATTCAAAAGATGGGGTTGAGATGGGAAGTTAGTGTCCGAGTGGATCGAGGTCACGATAACTTAAGTGGTAGAGCAGCGGCGTATCTAGCCAAAGATCGTGGGTTCGAATCCCGCTTGTGCTATTGACTTTTTTATCTCAACTAAAAACCTTAATTAATTGTAATATATTAATTGGTCAAGTGGACCACAAAATTAGGGAAGTAAAATAAATTATATATTCCATTTGCAAATGGCATTGATTGATAATTACAGGTCCTCAGATATCGTTACATGCCATCGCTTGAGCAGTGACTTTCTAAAACCGTGGAGTTGGTGCTGCCAAGAAAGCATCCAGAATTACAAGTTGTTCCTAGCTTGTCAGTTTCTGACTCTTTCTGTTTGTTCATTCTCCAAGTCGTTACCAGGGTTTTGTTAAGTGATATCCTTCCAACCAATGAATCTTCATATTTGGATGTCTCGCATTTAGCCTTCTGAGCAGGCATGAAGAAGTTCTTTTGTCTCCTAATGGTAGATTTGTTTAAAACGAATTTTTCACTGGCAAGTTGTTTTCAATTAATTTTTCTCCTGTTTTAACATTTTACTTTTTGAATTTAATAGTTTTAAGTAACAATTTTTGACAATTTTTGATAACTAGCTTGAGTTACTATTTTTAGTCTAACAAAGTCACTGAAGTTTGTGTGGGTGATTTAATATTTTTTGTTTGTTTATTTTTGTATCGAATTGAACAAAAATATAATTTTTTCAGCCAACTGATGTAAACAACAAAATTGAAGACCTGGAAGATGAGGTATAACATTTTTTCGTTGAAACATAATCGCATTTAAAAATTGATGCTTTTAAATATTATATTTAGACTGAAACACAAGCGAATGAAGAAATGGAAGCTGAAGAGGAAAATAACGCCGAGGATGAAGATAAAGACAACTCTGAAGATGTTACAGACGAGGAGTGAAATTATGTCCATACCTACAAATCTTTTATTGTGCAAAGAGATGAGATGATTTTTTTTCTTGTTAAAAGCGAGCAATGCAATTAAAATAAAGACACGAGCAATTAATAAATATAAACAAATATTGCCAATTATTATTCTAGCTTTTAATATACTGCTATTTTGAATACGATTGTGATAATTTAAACATTTTGGGATATGTCCTCTGCCAAAAAAAAAAAAAAATAAAATAAATAAAAAAAATAAAATAAAATAAAAATCTTTTTAACATTTATACCACTTTAATAGTTTAGAGGCGACAGTGAGTAGTATTGTTAGAATGTTTATCATAAATAATTTATATTTAACAATTAAACAATTTAAATTTGTTGATTTATAATTACTCTATTAAAGACTTCCCATTATTTTTTTTCCGCTTTTGTAAATAGACACCTCTTGTTTAAATTTTAAAGGAAACCATTGCAATTTTTGTTTTTATGTATTAAAAAAAAAGAGCTTATATTTATTTTCATGACATATTGTTATTATTAATATAATTTTTATCAAATATCAGAATTAAATTTATTTTCCTTCATGGAAATATTTCTTAAGTTTTCATTTAAAATTTATTACTATTAATACCATGGCTTACGGATAGTTTTTATATTTTGCAATCATGAAAGAATTATATTGTAATTTTAAATAAAGTATTACACTTCTCATTTACACCATTTTATTAAAGGACCTGAATTTTGTATATAGAGAGCCTTCTTCAATCAATCATCAATTTATTTATTTATCATTTATTAATAAATAAAATTTCATTACAATGATCTCAAATATCATCGACTAACAGGATGTTCCAAATATAGCACCTTTAGCATGATTCAGCCTGGTGCAAATTTTGGTCCACTTTTCCCAACAGCAGAATCATCACTTTTTCTTGTAATGTGTTTTCTATAATATACACAGTAACTTGAACAAGTAAAAACCAAACGTTATTTTTTTTTGTTATTATTTTACGAGGCTTCGCAACAGCAGATGCCATATCAACCCTAGGGGTGCTGGTGTTTTTGGAAAAAAAGCACATTTGTAAATATGTTGGGTTCAAATGCAGAGCTGCTGGATTCAAACCCTGAGACCTTTACCTTACAGTTGTGTCAACCCTAAACCATTTACGCCCCACTAAACATAACTTTAATGTGATGGCTTTTAAAGTGTTAATTTTTTTTTACTCAAGTGTCAAAACTTTACGTTCTGTTTGTCAAACATTAATTTTTTAAATGTGTAGTTGTGGACTGAATTTTTTAACAGGCTGTTACCGGTTCCTCCCCAGACCGTTGGCAATTCATCCGTTTGCCGGGTACCTGGGGCTCAATGGAGATTTTTTTTCCCATGGCCGCTTCATCTCCAAAAGTGAAATAAACGGGCACCACACTGTTTTTATATTTTTTTTTCTTCTTTTAGGAAAACAGTGAAACCCTCGGGGTGAAATAACAACAAATTAAAAAAATAAAAACTACAAGAAAGTAAAATATCACTGTTCTCTGTATTGTGAATAAAATGAAAAAAAAAAAAAAATATAAACAAGTCTTCAAATTTAAAAAAAAATCTCCAGATACCAATCTTACAATATAAATTAAAAGCTCGAACCTCGTGTACGTTCTTTTCCTTCTCGTTCCAGAGCGGTTCTCCCCTCGCACACGTGAACCCTCCACTCCACGACGATGAGAAAAAGTCTCAAAATAATCAAATAAAACACACATCCCTTTTTTACTTTTTTGCCCGGCTCGTCCACACCATACAGTCTCAGCTCGGAGTGTTCCTCCTTGTCCTCCTGCTCGTGCCATTGTCTTTTTTATCTCAACTAAAAACCTTAATTAATTGTAATATATCAATTGGTCAAGCGGACCACAAAATTAGTGAATTTAATGAATTAAAATGAAGTATACTTCACTAAAGCTCTCCGTGGCCATTTCATTTGTCAACGAGAATCTAATCCGATTACACCACATTTGAAAAATGGCAAAAAGGAGGGAAAACTCAAAAGGTGGGGTTAGGAAGTTGGTGTTCGAGTGCATCGAGGTCACGTTAGCTCAAGTGGTAGAGCAGCGGCGTACCTAGCCGAAGATCGTGGGTTCGAATCCCACTCGTGCCATTGACTTTTTTATCTCAAATAAAAACTTTAATTAATTGTAATATATTAATTGGTCAAGCGGACCACGAAATTAGTGAACTTATAATATAAATTAAAAGCTCGAACCTCGTGTACGTTCTTTTCCTTCTCGTTCCAGAGCAGTTCTCCCCTCGCACACATGAACCCTCTACTCCACGACGATGAGAAAAAGTCTCAAAATAATCAATTCACACTATCTCGTTCCTTTCTTACTTTTTTGCCCGGCTCGTCTACACCGTCCATTCTCAGCTCAAGTCCTTGTTCACGCCGATCGGGCCCCACTCCTCGCCACGTCCCTGCTGAGCTCTGACTGGGCCTCCTTCGGCTTCCAAATGCCACCCGCGCGTCTTCGGCCTCTTCCAGGCCTCGCTCAACCTTGCCGAGAGCACCCTCGTCGCTGCCTGAGTATGGTCACCACAGTGCAAAAGAAAGTTTTTTTCTCTCATTTTCGCTTGTAACAAGGCTGAACGACCCACTAATAGATACATTCTGAGTGTCTGTTATTTGGGGATATTGTGAAGTTTGTAAACGTAAACTAATTTATAATAAATTAAAATGTTAAATAAATAATTTGGTTTTTGGTTGGAGAAGAGTTTGTTTTTCTGAAAAACACTGTTATAACTTGAGAACGGTTCTTCCAAATTGAAAAGCATTGATGATTTTATTGTAAAAAGGCCTTCAAAAAATGTACATTGATGAGTATCTTGCCATTTGAAAGTTAAGCTCCTAAAATGTTTACAGCAGTGTTAAATCAAAACGTTTAGGTTCATGAGAAATGAAAGAAAATAAAAGTTTATGTGTATTGGGTTTTTTCGCTAAAACATACAACAACAACAATAACAATTCTTAACATCAATGGATTTTATCCAAATTCAATTTTAATAACTTCGACCATCTCATTACACTTAATGAAAAGAATTCTTAAATAAAAGATACAAGGAAATTCTGTCTGCCAGAAGATGGCCATAGCCCTAACCTAACCGAAATGAAAAATTCAAAAATTATTACCATCGAAAAGCTAAACATCTCTTCTTTCTATTCGGGTTAAAAAGTTTAGATTTATCTCATCATAAGTGAGAAAAATAAGGGTAAATTTAACAAAACTCCTCAAACTATTGTTTTTTTGTATCTCTGGTTGTAATGGAGACCAAATTTGTGTAGTTCATAGCATTGAAAACTAATACAGTCAGTGGAGTCATTTCAAAGTTATTACTATTTCAATTAATTATTTGTTTTTATCTTGGTTCCGATGAATAAATTAGTGTTACAAGTGGGATTCGAACCCACGATCTATCGCTAATACTTAATAGCCGAAGGTCATGAGTTCGAAACCACTTGGGACAGTTTTCTCAATCAAGACCTTAGATAAAAAGAATAATTAATTGAAATAATTATTATGGCCAATTATGACCACTAAACATATATGAGTTATTTATTATTTTTATGATTTTTAGGAGAAAAAAAAAGAATCAGAAGCCTTTCTAAGACGAAAAATTTTATTTAAAAAATCTTGTTTTATTGGAGAAAAATTCGTATTCATGGGTTATTGAGGACCGTTAAAAGACGAATATAAACTTTGTTTCTTTCCCCAATAATGTTTGTAATAATGTTGTCCCATACAAAATAAAAGTAAATACAGAAAGGTGGAAGAAGGTGATACTCAACTGACACAACTGGAGTGTAATGCAGGCTTAGCATATCGACCCACGTACAGAAATCTATTAAAACATATAACTAATGTTTAGGCAAGGTTTACTATTTACTACACTTTTTAAAAATTAATTTAAAAAGAAATAAATAGTGAGAAAGACGCTTTTGTAAGAAATGACACCTGGTTTCTTATTTTCTTAATTGGATTATGCAATGACTTCTTATGAACTTTGGGAAATTTCATCAATTTGGTAATTAATAGGATTTCTTTTAAAATATATATATTTTTTTTTGGGGGGGGGTGGATTGAAATATTTTATTATTTTCAATTGTTTTCTTACGTTCTGAGAGAGTACTAAAAAATATGCTTTTAAATGTCTCGGCATTTTAGTCGTAAGATGTCTGTAGTTTGGCCGGATTCATTTTCGAGCAGGGTGGGCATCCCCCTGAGCTGTGCTCGTCTTTTTTCATTTGGCTTAAGTTCTCGTCTTTTTCGTCGGAGCACCAGTGCTTAAAACAAAAAACGAGTTATTTTGATTTGTTAATAGGAAAATGCATGGCTTCCCTTACATTTGCGAATAACATGAAGAAAAGCTGTTCGTCGGAGAAGGCTTGGAGCTCTGGAAGTCGTAGCTGCGCACAGAATTATTTAAAGTCACTAGTTTTTGTGGTCCGCTTGACCAATTAATATCTTTCAATTAATTAAGGTTTTTAGTTGAGATAAACAAGTCAGTGTCACGAGCGGGATTCGAACCCACGATAATCGGCTAGATACGCCGCTACTCTACCACTTGAGCTATCGTGACTTCAATCCCCTCGGACACTAACTTCCCATCTCAACCCCACCTTTTGAATTTTCTCTCCTTTTTTGCCATTTTTCAAAACGGCAGGAGGAGAAAAGGTAGAGAAAAAACGTTTTGGACAATTTAGAAGTGACAGACTGTATGATTTTAGCATAAGGTATGAGGTAGGATCCCAATGAACTTCTACAGGAGCCCCGGTAGCAATGCCCTGCCAAATGCCTGATACATGCTCAGGAAGATACCAGGACAGTACTGTTTCTGCTCCAGAGCTCTCTCCAACGCAACGAGCTTTATGGATGTCCCAGTGGAAATTCGAAAATCGAACTCATCGTTTATTATCAAAATTCACAAATAATATTTAGACATTAATCGTTACTATACTATTTTTAAACGAAGAAGAGAAGATTTAAGTCAAAATTCAGTTCACTTCTATACATGCAGTTATCGTGAGAAGTAAGTGGAAATTGTCTAAATAGGTAATTTGTGAATCTCGTTCAATTGTAATTTGTCAATCAAATTAATTTTTAAAAAGTGAGTTTAAAAGGAAGTTAATGGTGGGAAAGTTGTTTTTGTAAAACATGAAATCTGGAATCCTATTGTACGAATTGCATTATGTAATGATTCTTACTGAACTTCGAAAATGTACAACAATTTTGTAACAATTTTATTAGGTTCAATTGTTTGTATACTTCTTGTAAGACAGGACTAAAATATTATGTTCTAATATATCTTTTTTTTCTAAAAGACACTTCGTTTTTAATTCCCCAATAATTTTTTTAAGCGGATTGTTGTCATTTTTAAGGCGGTTCTGTATCTCTGTTATGTCTTTTGTATAGACTAACCTCGAAGTAGTACTTTTACGTAACAATATCCTATTGACATTGAGATCGACATTTTAGCTTTTGAAGAGTTATAATTTTTTACACTAGTTTAAACACTCAGGAAGACTATTTGACTCAATTAAACTTTCATTAGTTTCTTTTGTTTTTCAACCTGATGTTATTACAATATAAGTAGATTAATTTTAAAGAATTTGACGTTGGGTGCCAAAGTACATAAGATATGGAAAGTAAGTACTTTCACAAAAGCTAGAATTGCCGGAGGCATGAGCTTGAGTTGCGATAGGCTTATCAATAGTAAAAGTGGGATGGATATACATAAAAAATCGACAGATATCTTTCACAAAAAATGGGTGAAGTTGAATAAACTTAAGCAGGAACTTACTGTTTATTGTTGCTGTTTACGCCAGATAAGCGATTATAAAAGGCGATCGGTTAATAGAAAAGCCCGATTTGGCCGGATAGTCTGTCGAAGTTCGTTTTTTGATGTCACCTTTTCGTGGCGATTCGTTTTACCGTTTGCAGTAAATTCGTTGCACGGTGTTAACGGGAGTAGTCGACTCATCGTCCAAGTATCACCAGAATCACCGAGGTCTCTTGTTCCGAGGGCGAAATGTAATTGTTTTCCATCCTATTGAATTCCCATCATAATTGCTGAATCCTTCCTGAACACCCCCGTGCATCTTAGCCCAACAGTCCACGGGTATCCTCATCCACTTCCCTCTCAATTCAGGTTCCTTCATTCTTTCCTGTGTCCCCTCCCAACCCTTGGTTACAAGGGGGGTGTCCGGGCACAAAATAACAGTGCAGCCCTGAGGGCGTGGCAACCTTTCTAAAGCACAAGCTGTACTCTTGTCCGCCTCGGGTCGGCATGGGCGGCGGGTGCCTTATCAGAGGCACATGAGGGTTAGGGTACCAGATCCTGTCTGCATAGACGGGGAGGGCGCATAACCATCTGTACTACGGGGTTACAGAAATGTTCCAAGGTTCAGCCTGGTTACACTGGGAAGTGTGGGAGTGGTTCGTGGGGACGCCCCTGGCGGGAACTTAGTGAAGAGGCTGTCTTCGTATATGACCACCTTTATACACCCGGCCTCACGGGATACGGCGGATCTTACGGCAGCGTATTAGTGTTATTTCAGATTGTGTTGAAAAGTCCCTCGAATGCGTGAGTAGTGGCTGATGGGAACGGGTAGTGAATCGGCTGCTCCTACTCGAGTATGCTTTGCACGTAGGTGTAGGCTGAGCTCGATTGGAGGGTTTTACCATAGGGGGTACTCCTCTAGGGGGTGGTTAGCAATTCCACTTTAAACAAAACCGCGGCCGGAGCGGATCTGGTAGTTTCTACGCTGGGGAATCCTCAATACTCTGGGATCTATCTAGGGAGTGCGCGGGAGATCAGACTGATGTATTTCGGCTTAGGTAGCCTTGCGCGCGGCATACGGTCTGATGCTTAATGCAGACCCGACCACTCGGAGTTGTCTTGGGCCTTCAGGGCTGAGCTGCCTCTACACTAATGCTGAGGGAGTAACACCATTCTGTCGTATGTAGAGGTGCGTCAGATCTCATCTTGAGAATTAAAACGTCCGATAAGGCCGAATAGTCTAGTTGTGGACGTTAAAGATCCTCATATTCCTTTTTAGGACGACCGAGTATGCGGGAACCCAAATGTTACTAAAAGTTTTGATCGTATGTCGAGTAATCGTCTAAGCATGAAAAATCGTATGTTACAGTCTGTGCGTCTAAGTCGTGTACGGGAAAGCAGTCCACGGGATCGTCGGAGTCGAGGGCGTCTGGTTGTTACCGACTCGGTGCTTGTCGAGCAAGGTCAAGAAGAGTGATTTTTTTGTTTAATTTTAACAATATTTCTTTCTGTTTCGTTCCTTTCTTCTTTTTTTCTGTATATAGTCGACTGCGTCGCCAGTTGCTTTAATATGATTTGGGTTCTCCTAGTGCCAACAAAATTAACTTGGAAAAATTAAAAATTAAATTGTTCTCTACAATAAATAATAGATAGATATTTTAAAAGAAATTAAAAAATTAACCTTTGTTTATCATGTTAATTCATTTTAAGACGAGGGTAATTCGACATGTTAAAATGTTTGTACCTTCGGTTACTGATGTCGGTGTGATTCTGCTTAACGATCGATAAGGATAATTTACAAACAATTGCCCACCAAATCAAAATGAGAGAGAGAGAGAATATAAAAATTAAGTGTACGTTTAATTACAATTAACTTTTTTTCTGGACTGGGAAGAATATGAGTTGTTATCAAAAGAGGCACAGTTGTAAAATTTCCAATTTAATTCCACAAATTGCATTTTTTGGACGGATTCATTTTCGAGCCGGCCGGGCATTTCCACACTTCGGCGAAACGGCCGAAATTCTGCAAGGCAACGTTTACCCTCACAAGAGCTGGGCTGTGCTCGTCTTGTTTCAAGATTTGGCTTAAGCTCTCATCTGTTTCGTCAGAACACCAGTGCTTAAAACAAAAAACAAGTTATTTTGATTTTTTTTAAAATCCGAAAATGCATGGCTTCCCTTACATTTGCGAATGACATGAAGAAAAGCTGTTCGTCGGAGAAGGCCTGGAGCCCTGGAAGTCGTTGTTGTTCTCCCATTTCGGCGTATCGTTTATACGCCCCGTACGCAAACCGCAGACCACCGTCATCTGCCAGGTTCTCAGCTAACGTCAACACCCCATCCACCTCGAAAGATGAAAAACTGTAATAATCGCCTTATAACGATATTATAAATTTAAATTACTGTGGCATTTAGACGTGGAATGACGTAATTGTTGTATTCTTCTTCAAAGCAATATGTCCGATTAGTATATTGTTCAACCGACCTATTCGACCACCAAGGGTACACATTTCCCGATTTATCGTACATTCGACCTGAAACAATTCAACGTTGTAACCGACCGGCTGATTCTTAATTCAACGACTTAATTTACACCTATACTGTCGAATCCGTGCGTGATTTCATGACCTATCACTGTACCGATGGCCCCGTAAATAAGAGATCTAAAGAAATTTTGATAATTTTTTCATTAATCAATATTTTACTGGTTTAATCAATTGTTACAGTTAAACACTTACTCTGTTCCCAAATCGTAAAATGGAAAGTGAAGTATTCCAGCCGGCACAGCTAAAATAGAAAATACCCTTTAAACAATTTTTATAATTTTAATAAATATATACAGTTGACTTGACTTACATTAAATTATTATCATACTTACTAATTGAATTGGCACTCGGGTTATAATAAGCGTTAACTGACAATGGATCAAAAAATGCTCTACAATGCAAATTAAAAACTATTAAAATTCTATGTGTAAGAACAATGTCTACAGATACCTAATAAACATAAAACATTTTTAAACATTAAAATTATAAAATGTTTATACAATCTCAAGACATCGATTTCATTTACAAAGAAAAACAATGTTTTCCTTAATTGAAACAGTGGTGAAATAGAAATTCAATAAATTTAAAAAAGAAAAGAAAGTAGTACTAGTTTAATTAGGGGGCCGAGGTAGCCGAATAAGGCGTCAGACTCTCGGCTAGTTGATCCCGCGGTCGTGGGTTCGATCCCCACCGTCGCCTCTGGACTTTTTCTGACGCCTAAGGGGAAGTGTGGCCCCCGGACACTTGAAAAAAATTGAAACGGCACTCTTCAATGGAAGGAGCGGGATCAGATCTCAGCGACCCTGAATTTGGTCCCAACCCCCTTCAAAAATGAGTTTCTTCGATGGAAAAACACCGGCACACCGGGGGTTCAAATTCACACTTGTGTTGCGAGCCCCCCCAAAAAATGGATCCAGGGATAAAGTGCAATAAGCTGTACAGTGCAGTGCTCAGGAGGGAACTCCTCCAGTTCCTGATATCCATCGTATATAAAAAAAGTAGTTGAATTAAATTTTATATTGGAATGATGTGTCCCACATTATATAACTACTGCCTTCCACAAAAGGCAAATTTTGACCATGGCTTGCCTTCAAAACCTAAATCATCATGACACAGTCTTTTTTAAGTTCGCCGTAAAATATTAGATGACCACCACGTTCGATAATAACCCACATGGTGTTATTTAATACAACTTTCTAATGGCTTTTGGCGCTAGAAAATAGAAGACGCTGAAAAGAAAAAAATGGCCGAGGCGAGAAAACAATGAAAAATGGTCGTGCCTCGTGTAGTACAGGCTCATCATCGAGAAAGTCATTTAAAAAAAATGAGAGAGAGATGGAAAATCACGAAATTCAAAAGACACTCAGCCAAATAACGAGAACATATCCAAAACGCATCCAAAGACAAACAGAGCTACAGATTCGAAGATATCTACTTATCTTGACAAAAAATCCGAAAAAGAAAAATGATAAGAAAACAGTAACGAAGCGAAAGTCCAAAACCACGCCTAAAAAAATTCAAACAAAGAAAGGAAAAGCACAATAAACTAAAATGAACAACCAAACATCTCCCAAAAAGGTAGGTCACCGATGGAGAACCACATCCTCATAAAATTGAGAGAGTATTATCTCTAAAGAAACCGATAAAAAAAAATTAGAACGTAACAAGAAAAATTTAAATCATAGGATGGAATGGGCTTGTCAACACAACCACTGTTAAAATCTTCACGTTAATTCATTTGGCATAAAAAGGAAAATATTTATAAACTTAAACGGTTCCTACCCGGTCTATTAATTCTATCTAACCGACCACTACTGATTGAGGTGCGGCAACGAGCTCTCGGAAGCCACACACAGACCAGCCGGGGTCTCACAATGGAGAGTTCTTGGTCTCATATTTTTTATCATTTACACTGCTGACCTACCTATAAACCCTAATACCGTCATCACTTCCTACGATACTTACGGTACTTTAATTCAAATTCTATACAAGCTTCGCCCAATATTAAAGAACACCTTGAACTTACCGAAGACTGGTACAATAAGTGGATGACAAGACTGAAAGAAGAAAATGTACTCAGTGTAAATTCACATTAAAAAACAGTTTTGCCTTCCACTATACAACCACTACAAAGAGATCTGACTTCCATTCCGTCAATTGTCGCACAATACACAGGAGACAAAACTTAACAGAAGGCTGAACAACTACGAAGACTCCTAGGACGGAAATCTGTCTTGACCTTATACAAGACTTCACTGCGGCCACGTTGGAAATACTATGGGGTTCTGATAAACCATCCACCATCAGCATATCCAAATCTTTCAATAAAAATTCCTCAGACAAATCGTCAAAGATCCTTACTACGTCATTAACCTCACTATCCTCAATGACCTCAATATTTCTTTTGTGAACGAACTAATTCTCGATCCTAAAATTCTCACACCCACCTCTTCATTCCCGCGAACCCGTCACGTCCTTAATCGACGATGAGCTTGAGACTTCCTTGCTCCTTAATCTGTCATAGAGTGCCAGAATTGGCTGGTTTCTCAGGAAAATCTCTTCCGGGTGCAGCGCTGGCGTGTTGGTCTGTGACCGTGTTAAAAAATGTTTGTGATCAAATGTTGTGATAAGGTGCAACCTCATAAAAAAATAAAAAGAAAAGATTTCAAGCATCTATTGATACGTTACAAACAACATATCCACGGAAGATGTCTTAAGTCGAACCGGATGAACAGATCAAAATGGTCGGAATCGGTCAAACTGCATCAGCCACCATAATAAAATACCGCAATTTAAACATATAATTTATTTCTTAGAATGAAAAAGTTTACTACTTTTCTTAGATATTATTTTCAATTTAGTTCTAGCGTAAAACAATCGATAAATAATCTTTGCTTACGTTGAAAAGTTGTTCTCTTCAGCCAAAGAGGAAAACATGTCATAGCTGTGAAGGTCGATTAAGTTCAAGAAGTTCGTTAAGTACGAGTCTTCTTCTAACGTTACCTGACGATTTATAATTAGAGTATTATACGGTTTCTTTTTTGTAATTGCTTAATTAAAAATATTTACATTGTACAATTGATTTATTTCGTCTACGTCTCTCATAACATCCGGTATGCCTACGAAAGAAGACATTTTTTTCAGTTTTTCAATTGAGGATCTCTTTGTAGAATCATCCATCCACGGAAGTGTCCGGATTTCTTCAGCAAACACGTTCTTTACAGCGTCTATTAGGTACATGATCTAGATGGGGCAGTTTTTATATAAATTTTGACTGTTATTAATAATATATTTTTATAATATTTCACCTCGTTAATCGTTTTGTTTTCCATTTTCTCGACGAGGAAAAACCCTGCAGCAGGCGCCATTAATTGATTTACAACGCTCAAACAAAAATAATTCCTATAATATATACTTATTGGTTATATTTTCTTAAAGTAGTGATATTTTGAATAATTACAAACTTGAATGTCAGGTAAAACTTTTTTTTTTTACCTAGTTTCTCCGTACTCCATATCCAACAGCTTGGTCCAAAATGTGTTTATTAAATCCGAAAGCTCTCTGTTAACGTGGGGCGCCAAATTTTCCAGGACGTTCCACCAAATGTATATACCTGTGACAATAACGCATTTAACGTCGTATTTTCGTAGCCCGTCCAATTTAAATCAGTCCAACCAATATTTTTGTCTTCGACCTTTTCAAGGAATTCGGATATCAGTTGAAAATAGTATTTCTGAAAGACCTGCAATTTGGTCTGATTCAAATCAATTTTCACTTCCCAAACATCTTCGTACAGAATACTTATATACTTGGCTAAGTTCAACTGTGGGAGGTAATTAAACATTCAATTTAAAAAAACTATATAAATGTTGAAATCCAAGAACATACCTTCGATTTTCCTGATACCGTATTTTTGTCCAGATAAATTTGTAGTTCCTCAACACTTATCTCTTCAGGAATCTCGTTGAGAATGGATTTCGATATATTTGGACTATTCTCCAACTGGGCCAACATTATACTATTATTACATTGTGTATTAAATAAACAAACTAACTTTTGAAAACAAGATAGAAGAAAATGTTAACACATCTAGTTCAATTATGAGATTTCATTTTGAAAACTATCATCTCGACCTGCCTATCCTTCCCATTTGGTTCTGCCATATAAATATAAAAGATGTCCTTTTTATATGGCCCGGCTGAAAAAAAAGTGCTTAATATTTTTTAGTCGTTTCAAATTTTTACCTTTTTAACGTTAAAACACCACACAACAACAGCCATTAAAAATTAGATTTTAAATTGGTCAAAAAATGGCAAAGTTATGGCAAAAAGTTTGAAAAAACCCATTTTGTTTGTTTCGTTGTTAATTCCAATAATGTGCTTCTTCACTAAGGAAAACATTAATTGGTTTTATTGTTTATATTCTGTCGTTGTTTGTCAAACTCGCATTATGAGAGCAAATCTTAATTCCTGGAAGTAAATAAATTTTACAATAATAACTATTCTTTACATTCAGTATTCCATTCAAAATGAACCGAAGAGCACATTTTTCCGCCATACGTATGATTTATTGATAATGGTGGTATTGCACGTCGTGCAGTCGAGTTGTACGCCCACAAATTTCCTCATCGCTCCAGAGTAAACCACAAAAGTTTAATAGTGTTGCTCGCAATATGAGGAAATACGGGTCAGTTGTTGTTCCACCACCAAGAAACCGGCTGCGTAATTGCGACGAGGAGCTAAATACTTTACTGTATCTTTCAATTAATTAAGGTTTTTTTAGTTGAGATAAAAAAGTCGTGTTCTCGGCTAGATATGCCGCTGCTCTACCACTTGAGCTATCGTGACTTCGATCCACTCGGACACTAACTTCCCATCTCAACCCCACATTTTGAATTTTCCCTCCTTTTTGCCATTTTTCAAATTCAAAATTCAAAAGGTGGGGTTGAGATGGGAAGTAGTGTCCGAGTGGATCAAAGTAACGATAGGTCAAGTGGTAGAGCAGCGGCGAATCTAGCCGAAGGTCGTGGGTTCGAATCCCGCTCGTGACACTGTCTTTTTTATCTCAACTAAAAAACCTTAATTAATTGAAAGATATTAATTGATCAAGCGGACCACGACAATTAGTGAATTTTACTGTGTGTTCGCTAAAATCCTAATTCCACTCTCGAAACTGTCGGAAGGGTTTTAGATTTTTCAAAAATTAAAATTAGAGATGTACTCCAGACTTATAATTTTAAGCCATATCGCTCTAATCTTGAAGAAAACATCCTGGACTTACATAGGAAAGATTTCCATACGTCCTATGGACTGATGAATCCAAGTTCACCTGTAATGGCATACTAACCCGTTGGAATTTTCGAACGAAAGGTAAAACCAAAAACTTTTGTCATCATCAGGTGGTTCACAGTATCAACGTTTAATCTTTTTTTTTTAAAAAGATAGTTCCTACTCACAACAAGTTTTTTTCACTGCATCATTCACCATTTCTATTAATTTCCTAGTCAAAGCAGTAATGGATTATAACACAATCAATAATATTACTTCCACTTGCTTAAAATCTGTTAGTAAACAAGTACTTTTAAATCTTTATTATAAATTAAGGCTTTCATGCTCAAAAATCAACAAACCAATCTGGTTCAATTCCCAATGTTTGAAATTAAATCTAACTCCGAAATTAGTTTTTGCTAAATTAAATATTAAGAACTGTTCAACTCACTTACAACGTAAATGCCAAAAAAACATTTTAAATAATGAATTACATAGATTGTACAGTCAAAGAGATACAAAACGTTTTTATCGATATATTGTACACATTAGGCTTGCCTCATTATTGTCTCCAGTAGAATGGGACGAATTCGATTATGATACGCGATCAAAAGTTAAATTTATCATCGATAAAAAAACAAAGTATATTAGATAAAAAAATCAAAAACTTAAAGTATGGTACACTTATAAATAAAAATACTCATAAAGACCCAAAAACTCCAGTTAAATTTTACCCAAGGGTTATAAACTTAACAATCATGGTACTAAATAAAGAAGAAAACAATTTTAAACAAAGGCTTAAAATTTGTCCCTAAAACAGAATTGGATACAAAACACTATGCCTTGGTTCATCGGTAGATTGTAACATAAATACAAATATAAAGTATAAATGTGCTGAAAAAACTAAACAAAACTTGGTAAATCTAAACGTCAAAAAATTAAATATCCCAAGTACAATTAGGTCTATTGATAAAAAGTTAAAAAGTAGCAACAACTTTTTAAAAGCCGATAAAGGAAATAGTATAGTTTTCATTGAACATCAAAATTTCTAATGTTGAGGATTTCCTAAATAATAATGAGTGTAAAGAAATAAACAAAGATCCCACCTTGAAATTGAAAACTAGAGTTCAAACAGCTATAAAAAATAGTGATTTTTTATTCTCAGATGACCAATATGCATTTAAAAAATTAATAACAATGAACCCGAAACCCCCAATGTTATACGGTACAGTCAAAATTCATAAGGATAACAAACCAACCTATAAGACCAGTAGTGTCCTTTTATAATTCCCCATGCCATAAACTTGCAAGTACAATGAACAAAATGATTAAAACTCAGAGCAATTTCAAACTTATTGTGAGTAGGAACTATATATATATATATTTTTTTTTAAAGGATTGAACACCGCACACACTCACTCCATCATTCACCATTTCTGTATCAACGTTTGGTTTGAACTTCTCGGAAATAAATTAATTGGACGTTATTTCTATGAAAATTATTTAAATGGTGCTGAATTTTTTGAGGGAGGTTTTACCAACACTATTATATGATGTTCCTCTGCAACAACGACACAGAATGATTCTCCAGCTTGATGGATGCCCTGCACAAAATCCTTTGCAGGTGCGACGTTATTTGAATCTTCACTTCCGGGAAAAGTGGAAGGACCTCATGGTCCGATTTGTTGGCCTCCTCGCTCCTGGCTCGCTCACTCGATTTAAAAAAGCCATTTAAATAGAGCCATTTAAAAAACAGTCTCTACGCCAATAATAACTCAGCAACCTCAGTTGAAGGACTGCACCAAAGGATAAAAAATGCTTGTTGTTGCTGGCTCTTTCGCTCTGAACACCTGTGAAATGCTTAAAAAGAGCAAATGTTTGCATCTTTACATGCAGGCAGTTAGAACATGAAATGTGATTAACAAATAGCAAACTAAATTACTAGTTTTGTTTTTTCAAACTTTTTGCCATAACTTTGTCATTTTTTGACCAATTATCCAATTACACCGTTGCTTTCAGCGTAAAAAATCCTTTAAAATGATGTATGTATAGGATCATATATGAAGTTTTGAAGTGGAACTGGCCTGAGTTACCTTATATACTTTTTTTTTCCAAAAAAACGTGAATTTTGAAACTAGACTAAAAAGTATTAAAACGTATTTTTGTTTCTTTGATAGCGTCATTGGTTCAAGGGAAATTCAGCTGGGCCATCTAAAAAGGACACTCTGTATGTACAATATTTTGCAATTTCAGAGTTTGCTACTTAGGCGGACGAAGATAATCAGAAACGTAGGAACTATATTAACTTTAGTGAAAACAAGTCGTACATGAAATATTGGCAACAAGAATTATTAAAAGAAATACAACTTAAGCGCTTATCAGCTTAGCCAATAAGGTAACAATTGAATCAAATTTTCTAAATATATGTATACGTTTCTTATATGTTACAAAGAACCCGTGAATAACATTCAGACACATAACCACCTGTTTGTTGATTTTCGTGCCGCGTTTGATAGTGTGGTCAGGGTGGAATTGTCTGGGGTAATAATGGATAATGGTAGCCCTCCCAATCTGGTTTACAGATTTTTTCGTGGTGACATATAATACGATCTCCTGGTATTACTCTACTCTACCCGATGTATGTCACATGTGACAATCCGGACAAAAGTCTTTACTTTCCCGTGAAGTCAACGGAAGTGTTCAGACGCTGATGCTTGTTACCGTCAATTTGTGAGGGACCCATTTGCTGAGCTTCCACGTTTTCCCAAGTCGATGCAGCTGGAGCGAATGGTTTCATCGCTTACGTTGAATAATCTGGTAAGCTCTTGACACGTTTGACTCGAATCTATTTCGATAATTCGAGACAGAATGCCTTTCAGACCGTGGCTCATCTTCAATCCCTTCATTCCTAGAGGTTAAATTTTGAACCATTTTTGGGCAGTGCACTCACTTACGTTTCGTCACCGAACGAAGTACAAATTTTACCAGCTGCCTCGGCCGCCTTAGTACGGAGCTTAAATTCAATAAGCACGCACGAATTGGGTTTTGAAGCCACGAGAAAGAAAATATTTTATAATTTACAGTGAACTGTTCAATACTCTGTTTCTTTATGAACTGACTATCTTCTGTTAATACGTGATGTAAACACCTAGTCTTTTTATGTAAATAAAACTGTTGATTAATGGTATTAAAAAAATAATAAGTGAAAAACCGCACAAACATTTCTGTTTAGTTATTCAGAAATCGTGAGTATACGGTCTAGTGTGATGTAGGTTTCAGAAAAACATTTTCTTTATCGTGCCAACGTTTCGATCTTTATTGAGATCATCTTCAGGGCCCTTTATCCCTTTCTATATAATCCTGAAAGGATAATCTGGCCGAACCATTACCAACACATTTTTTCCCTTCGTCGGCTCTTTTCACCTTAAAGACCAAAAATGTCTTTTCTAAGCCGACTTCCTTCCCCACCCCTTCAAAATCCAACGTATATAAACATAAAACAGCAAAATCTCACTGGCACTCTCAACACGACACGCAAGAATGGCACAATTACACAGAAGACAAACACTTTGAGTGAGTAGAAATACTTTGATTGAATATAAAAAATATATTTTGCATTGTATAAATTCACTTTTCCACATCCTAAATGTATTTGTTAAATGTAAACAATGTTTGTAAATCCCAGGCCCTGAAGATGATCTCAATAAAGACCGAAACGTTGGCACGATAAAGAAAATGTTTTTCTGAAACCTACATCAACTAGACCGCATTCTCACGATTTCTGAATACTTATGGATTAACGGTCACTAATCACCACACATTTCTGTTTAGCTTCTAAGTAGGAACATCTGAAGGTTTTCTTTTCATAGTTAAACTTATTAAAGATGTAGAAATAATTATTTACTTAATACATACCTATTTCCCTATCCAGTGGAAACTATCTTTAATAACTCCAATACCAAAACCAAACAAATCCCCCAGTGCCACATCCTCTTATAAACCAAGAAACCTCCTTCCTATTTTATCCAAAATCTTTGAACGTATCCTCCTTAAAAGACTAATTCCTATATTCGACTTCTGAAAACGTAATTCCTAACCATCAATTTGGATTTCGTCCTCTCCATTCCACTGTTCAGCAGTGCTTCAGAGTAGTCGACACGATATCCTCGGCTCTAGAAAACAAACAATACTGCTCAGCCGTATTTCTGGACGTTACGTAAGCATTTGACCGAGTATGGCAGCCCGGCCTCCTCTATAAGTTAAAATGTATCCTTGCTCATTCCTACTATCTTACCGTGAAATCCTTCCTCTCAGATCGATGGTTTAAAGTAAGAATCGGCACCGATTTTTCACCTATCACACCAATCAAAGCTGGCGTTCCACAAGGAAGTATCCTAGGCCCAATCCTCTAACCCATCTACATTGCTGACATACCCACACATTCAAACACACAAATCACAACCTACGCGGACGACACCGAAATCTTATCAACACACTCCAATCCTATCCTAGCAACAGAAGCACTCCAACAACACCTGAACCTTATTACCAACTGGTGCCATCTGTGGCGGATCATGTTAAACGAACAAAAAAGCCAACAAGTTACTTTTACACTTAAACGTCAAACCTGTTCACCAGTGCACATTTACAACAAAATAATACCACCATCGAACCAAGTCCGCTACCTTGGGCTTTTCTTAGAACTTAACAAAAGATATGGACTACTCAGACATCTACTTGGACCAAAATCAAAACTACATAGATAACAAACTAACCGCTTACAAAACACTCATCAGAACTATTTGGACCTTCGGAGTCGAGCTGTGGGGCTCTGCCAAATCATCCAATATCCAACGAATTCAGTCTTTTCAATCTAAAGTTCTCCGCCGTATCCTCAATGCTCCCTTCTATGTCACCGATCAAATGATCCATAAAGATCTTAAAATCCCTTTCGTGAAAGATCTTATCCGAACACGCTTCTTCACTTTCCATTCTAAACTCTCCCTCCACCCTATCTCACTAGCCCTAATTCTTTCCTCAACATCTCACCCTTACAATCCTCCGCGCCGTTTACAAGGACCATGGCCGCATGACCTATCTAAAGCACCGAATTAACTTTACCCCCCCCCCACCATTAAATAAAAGAGAGTTCAGCACTGATTGATTTCTCTCCCCACTGCCTCCTGGTCTGACATGTTTTTCAGATTTCTTTATAACTATTTGCTCAATGTACATTATGTACAGATAGCAATAAATAAAAATAAATATCTTCAAAAAACTTAATAGTCGTGCAGGCAAACATATTTTATTAATTTTTTTATCATTTATATATTTAAATATTTTTAGTACTTAGTAGCATCACGAATTAACAATAAAGCAATAAAAATCATTAAGTTAATTAGTGTGTATTACATTCCAGAGTGCTCTATTCAGATCGACAAGTGAAGAAATGGACGCTTCCAATTCGTCTTTTTTTATCTCTCCACCCCCAGATTTGATAACGAGGAGGATAATTTTACCAACTGATTTAACCCATGTATTTTTCACGTCGTCCGTCAAAGACTCCTTCATTATTTTCTTGTTCTCGTTGCCCCAATGGAATCTGAAAGGAACCGGTCGCATTACGAAAAGCCTTTTGTTTTACACAATGCGTGTCGTACCCGGTAAATATTTGTTCAGCTTGATCCGGTGTGGAGAACATGATTTGATTTGTCGAACTGTTTGAAATCGATTCTTTTACACTCACGCCCAGGATTATGTTCAAGCCGGTGTATCGGCGTATTTTAGCGAGAGAACAGAGCCATTGTTCAGCTGACATTGGGTTACTAAACGGGTCCTTCGGCAGACCGGTCGTGTTAAGAATATCCCAGTAGGTCTCTAACCCATTTTCCTCCATTGCACCTGACATTATCACAAATCAAGTCACATATAAAAACAAAAACAAAATAGTTCATATCACTTACTGAAATCTACACACGAGTTGTATAACGTTCTTCCTTTTTGTACGAATTCAGGATCATCGTCTTGGCTTTTTTGAAGAAGAAAATCTGCAATGAAACTTTTTATTGATTTGAAAACAGTAAACACGTAGAAAAATAACATTCAGTATGTAAATTGCACAAAACGAAAGCATTCACTACCTAGACCTACATATTCGCCAAAATCTTCTTACAAAATATAATAGGAAACTATGTAACTGAGGATTGTCGGAAAGGGTTCGGGATGAAAATGTGGTGGGCTAAAGGCGGGAACACACCCCGTGCAACGCTACCCGATGCTACCCGACGCCTTACTACGTTTTGGTAGGGTATGCACATCTATGCGAAGTCAAGCACACGCCACTTTTTGTCACACAGCGTGTATCACAAATCAGTTTCACAATCGCAACGCCTCATTTGTTCTTAATGAGTTATTTTGAGCATGTAATAAAATGTTTGTTAAACNAAAAAAAACTAATGAATTTTTGATCTCGGTTAAGTTGGTTTGTATTAAAATAAGTATGTTGTAATTAATATAACGACAATTATACATGTAGTTTGAATAAGAATATGAGTGTCCGGTTCTTTTGTCTTCGACTGTACTCGATTCTACCCGACGAAAATCTGCACAATGGGGATCGCAGTGCGTACAGTAGGGTAGCGTTGCATAGCATCGGGCAGATGTGCACGGGGGTAATACATACCCACATACCCTCCAATAATACCTTATGGAAAATTGGAGTTTGGATTTGCGTCGGGTAAGTGTGTTCCCGGCTTTACGCGATGCAACGCTATGCGACGCTACCCGATGCCTTGCCACGTTTTGGAATAAACTACAAAAAATATGAGTGCCCTGTTCTGATACTACTCGACGAAAATGGTGTAATTGTATGAGCAATACCATGAAATAATTGTTAGTTAAATCCATTATATCAAAAAATGGTATTCCGGTGTTTTGATCAATGTTCTACCAAACCATTAAAATTAATTTTAAAAAATAAAAACTAATGAATTTTTTATCTCGGTTAATTTGATTTATGTTAAAATAAGTAGGTGTAATTAATATAAGACAATTATACATGTAGTTTGAATAAGAATATGAGTGTCCGGTTCTTTTGTCTTCGACTGTACTCGATGCTACCCGACGAAAATCTGCACAGTGGGGATCGCGGTGCGTAGAGTAGGGTAGCGTTGCATAGCATCGGGCATTCGGCAACCGAACGATTATATTTAATATCAGAAGGAGTGACTGTTTTGCCTAAAGAAATAAAATCAAATTTCACTGTGGAAATTCATCACAAAATAATCTTTCACGAATTTACTAGTCATACTCCCTGAAATATTAAAGTAAAGAAATTCCTGCCATAAATGACCGCCTATCCATTAGGTGTCGCGGACGACGTGTCAGATCCGTATAAATTTATATTTAAATGAATATAAAGACTCACCCGTAATATCCCTTTTTATGAGAACCTCATTTATCATAAACCAACTGTTACCCCAATTGGGATCAGGTGCTGCTCGCTCCGTTCGGAAGTTGCCGCACACAAAATTGTAAAAATTATCACACGGGTCCTGCGATTTATTCATTGACGACAGTATCACAGAGGCTGAACGAATGATAATTGATTGATTAAGATTCTACAAGCGGCGTGGTCTACAAACTTACCAGTTCTGATGCACTGATGAGTAAGACATATGTAAGGTGTAACGCCCAGTTTCGTTTCAACGACTGTAATTACACGCCAAAGAGGATCATAATTACATAAACACATAGCAAATATATATATTACCTAGATAAATGGTAACGCACAACGCGATTAGCAAAATAGAAATGATCAATATTGTAAATATTAAAAACGCTTCTAAGTGTTTCTTCGATGTTTTCCCGAACCTGAAAATATAATAGTTTAGAATGTGAATTTCATTCGGCGTTTGCTCAAATTATTTTTAACGGACAATTTCGTTTTTGGCCCTTTCATGTCCTCCGACGGTGGGGCTAGCTGCAATTGACTACCATCAATGGTATAGATGGAATTTTGTGAAGACAAAGCTGTAAAGCAAAAACAATATGATATATTGTAAATTTATTTAAATACAATAAGGTTCAATAATTTTTTTGCTTACGCTGGTGTGATTTGTTGGTGGTTTCCATTTTTTTTATGACTCCCTAAAAAAAATAAAATAAAGAGATTTCAAGTTTTGATTGTACGTAAACTGCTCATAAATAAACACTACAAAATGAACAACTGGCAGTTTCAAAAAATTTGATTGTTAAATAAAGACTCATATGCAAGGAACAGAGAAAAAGGACAGTAGAAGGACAGTATCATAACATAAATAGGCAACTAAGACTGGAAGTGGACATTGGGTGTAAATACTGATGATTTGGGTGTAATAATTAAACTTAGAGGGGAATTATTAAATCTTAATTATAAATGTGTGGCGTTTAGTGACGTTAGCCAATGATTGTTTGGAGATCGCGAGACGCGGTCTGGTGTGATGTAGGTTTTAAAGAAACATTTTCTTTATCGTGCCAACGTTTCGATCTTTATTGAGATCATCTTCAGGGCTCGAAGTGTTTGTTTTCTTTGTTGATGTGTCATTCTTGTGTGTCGAACGTCGTAAGCCTACAAGAATAAGGCCAGACCACATCATACGATCTCCAAATAATCTTAACTATAAACATTCAATTAATTTAGGTTTTTAAGTTGATAAAAAGTCAGTGTCACGAGCGGGATTCGAACCCATGACCTTCGGCTTGATTCGCCGCTACTCTACCACTTGAGCTATCGTGACTTCGATCCCGTCGGGCACTAACTTCCCATCTCAACCCCACCTTTTGAATTTTCCCTCCTTTTTGCCATTTTTCAAATGTCGTGTAATCTATTTGATTCTCGGCGACAAATGAAATGGCCACGGAGAACTTTAGGGTTAACTTCATTTTACTTACTCTTACTTAGTGCCCTAGGGGATCGAAGTCACGATAGCTCAAGTGGTAGAGTAGCGGCGTATCAAGCCGAAGGTCGTGGGTTCGAATCCCGCTCGTGACACTGACTTTTTATCAACTTAGAAACCTTAATTAATTGAATGTTATTAATTGGTCAAGCGGACCACGAAAAATAGTGAATTTACTTAATTATAAACCCTACATCCCGGGAATAATTCATATCTGCTCCTTATGCAATAGGTAAGAAAATGAAGATATATTCCACTTTTTGGTTCGTTGTCCCATATTAAAGAGCACCAGGAAAAATGTGTCCAGTTCTGAACCCCTGTCTGATGTAGCCGTAGTAAATTTTTTTAATCGGAACCCATTGGCTAAATTTATTAAATTATGAAAAGGAAGTTTTACAGGAATTTTTTAGTTGAAAATTTGAATTACTAATTAATTATTGAATTTGTTTTTCTTTGATTCTTTTGTATTTTTACCAAGAAAAACTAAATTTTATTTTCTGTTTTGATATTAGTTTAGTTCTTGTTAAAGATAAATGTTTGGTTTTTACAATTATTTTTTTTTGTATTCAATTTCTTTTTTTTTCTGAATCGAATGTAAAATCCTACCAGACGGCCTCAGCTATTGTTATTTTTTTATACTTTTTTATTATAAATTTTGTATTTTTCATAATATATTATAAATAAAAATTATCTATCAAACATATTGTGACATACTGTCAATTATCTCCGCTTATGATGTTTGTTTGTTGTTTACGAACAAATTTCTGACATTAATAGTTCGTAGATTGATCACTATTTACTTCAAAGTGTTTTGCAGGTTTATTCTCCTTGAACCCTTTATCAACTTTATATTTATTGTGTATATAAGAAATTATTGAGTGCAAAGGACGACGGCCTATAAAATCGATATGATTTAATCTTTGATGCAACAACCAGAATTTCGTTCGCTGATCTCGTAGTAGTAATATTGGGTTTTTTGTATCATAAAACGGGCTTATGTAAACTACATACTATTTTTTGTAATGAAATGTAGCCGAATAGTTTTTCTAATATTAATAATAATAGCGCCGAGAAATATCGAGTATTCTGGGGGAGTGAATGTGGCCAGATTTCTATGTTTGTATCAAGTGTTGTGTTTTGTCAATGTTATTTACTAGCGTGAAACGAAAGGGTTGTTTGCCGAGAAATGTTGAATACTTTGGGCGAGTGTGTGATATTTATATTTATAGACAATATTTAGATATATCATCGGGCCTGTGCAGTCTTGGAGCACGGTGAGGGCTCAGATTGTTGTTCGGGTATATAATGTTTGTGTATGTTTACCTTAATTTATTGGAAGGAATTTATTAGTGTGAATGGAGTGGGTTAAACCCCGCCCCGAAGAATAACGAATACTCTGGGAAGCGAATGTGATCAAATTTCATATCGGATGTTTGTTTAAGGTGGTGATATAAATCTGTTGTAGGTCTAGTGACTATTCTGTAGTTATCAACTTTAGGTACATATAACAGGCTAGCATTTTAAGATAACGAATTAAGCCGTGAACACACTTATCCGATGCTAAGCCATGCGACGCTACCCGATGCAACCCGACGCCTTGCCACGTTTTGGTAGGGTGTGCACATGCGACGTCAAGCGCACACCACGTAGTCACACAGCGTGCATCACAGATCAGTATCACAATCGAAACGCCTCTTTTGTTCTTAATGCATTATTTTGAGCAAAACCATGTATTAAATTGTTAGTTAAATTTTATGAGCACAACCTTGTAATAAATTGTTTGTTAAACTTCATTGTGCTAAATAAAGTTATTCCGGTATTTTGATCAATTTTCTGCCTAACAATCATAATTAAACAATTTTTATAAAAACTCATGAATTTTTGATCTCGTTTAATTTGGTTTATATTAAAATAAGAAAGTTGTAATTAATATAACGACAAAATTTCATATACCTAGTTTGAAATAAACTTAAAAAAATATGAGTGTCCTTTTCTGACGCTACTCGACGAAAATGGTGTAATTTTATAAGCAAAACCAGGTAATAAATTGTTAGTTAAATTTAATTGTTGTAAATAAAGTAGGTCCGGTGTTTTGATAAATTTTCTTCCTAACCATCATAATTAAATAATTTTTATAAAAACTAATAAATTTTTGATCTAGGTTAATTAGATTTATATTAAAATAAGTATGTTGTAATTATACATGTAGCTAGAATAAAAATATGAGTGTCCGGTTCTTTTATCTTCAACTGTTCTCGATGCGACCCGACGTAAATCTGGACATTGGGGATCGCGGTGCGTAGAGTAGGGTAGCGTTGCATAGCATCGGGCAGATGTGCACGGGGTAATGCAATATTAGGGAATTTGCGTCAGGTATCATCGGGTAGCGTCGCATGGCGTAGCATCGGTTATGTTTGTTCCCGGCTTTAGTTTCTGTACAAAGGCGTCAGTCACATGTGGAGACACTCAAATGGCTGCAGGTTGAAAAATACGCGAGAAAGACCAAGAAACGAAGTACAAACATGCAGAGGGTCGACGATGTTTGTCGGCCCCTAAACTTTCAAGTACAAATAAATCCTTCATTTCGTTTTCACTGAATAAATCCTAGACTTTAATTGGGTTTAAAACGTAAGTGGTTTGTTGTGTTATAGACCAACATTCGTTTTACCTATATGGTAAGGTGGAGTGTCAAACAAAGGAAAGTTTGAAATTGATATAAATAAGCCAGTTAATCGGGTTTTACTCGACGCAAGGTTTTGTGAGTTTACGAGTTGGACTTTGAGGCTTAATGGCCGTTTTGGTTTACGGACCAGTGAGAGTTTTAGTTTCCCTGGTAGAATAGGTTGTTTGCTCGAATGACCCACTTACCTCTGTCCGTTTTGTGCCCACTAAAATTAAAAACTTTGATAAGTTGACCAAATGAATTTTGGACGCTTGGAAAAAAATTAAAGTTTCTTACATTGAACAAAGATTTTTACTTGTAAATCTAAATAACTAATAAAATACCATATCATTTCATTTATTAAGATATTAAAACTAGTTAAATTGAACTATTATCGTGTTTTTTATGGCTGCCTTGAGTATGTTAAACATTATAAATGGCTTAAAGTATTATCAAGTATTTTTCGAATTTTAACGGAAAACAATATAAGGCAGGATAAGGCTGCAGCTGCCTAATTACAAGTTTTTGGCAGAACTGGCTCTTTACCAGAGTTGGATTCAACTGGAGACTAGAACAAAGAAAGGGCTAAGATGTTTAATTTTAAAAAAAAGTTGAAAAAGTCAAAATTGTACGGGACCACCTTGGAAGCCCTTAGCGTGAGAGACTCTCGGCTCATAGACGCCGAGATCGTGGGTTCGATTCCCACCATCGCCTCTGGCCCTTTTTCACGATAACCCCCCCCCCCATATGAACACACATATAAGAATTCGTGACCATGGTTAATATGCATGGATCATAAGGCAAAAAAAAACCTTGGAGGCCCAGAGAAACCAACAGAAAAACTTTAGAATTTTGGACAACCATTTCACTTGAAAGATTTCAGAAAAAATAACATAACTTTATGCTTTATGAACTTCAACAATTTCAAAGAGAATCAGTAAACTGGTTCTTACAAGTTCAAAAAGGCTGCGCATTCATAGAAAGTTGGAAATAATTTGAACGTGTGGTGATTAGTGACCTTTATTCGATGATTATTCAGAAATCGTGAGATGCCGTCTGGTGTGACGTGGGATTCAGAAAAACATTTCCTTTATCGTCTCAACGTTTCGATTTTTATTGAGATCATCTTCAGGGCTTACGCAGAAAACAAACACTTTGAGTGAGTCAAGTGAGTCCCTTCAATACTTTGATTGAATAATAATTTTTTTTTTCATTGTATAAATTCATTTTTTTCCACATTCTACATGTATTAGTTAAATCTAAATAATGTTTGTAAATCCCCGGCCCTGGAAATGATCTCAATAAAGATCGCAACGTTGGCACGACAAAGAAAATGTTTTTCTGAAACCTACATCACACCTGACCGCATCTCACGACTTCTGATAATTTGAATGATTCATTTATGGTCCTCGGATTACCAGGCAGTACTATGGGGGTACTTTGGCACAAAATTTGCCGACATTTATGATTTACTAACGCTTCGGCTTGATGATGACGCGACTTGACCAGTATAAAAATAAAGAGGTGAGAGAAAATGGGTTGTGTTCTAT